CTCTTTGGCCTTGTCCCAGCCATATGCCCTAAAGGGGATGTTTTTTTCCTGATTCCTAGACTGAAAGAGCCAGACAGTACAGCCCAATTTCTGTCTTTGGGGTGAGAGAGAAATGGGTTAGATCAATAAATGTTTCTAGAGAGTAGTTGAAGAGAGTAATGCATATAGGAGTGTTTGAGCTTTATTTCCAGGGTTAGGCTTAGCTCTGGGAACAGCCTAAACATCATGGGCAAGCTGGTGGGATAAGTAGCACTAGATATTTTCGGGGGCCTGAAAAACATAAGGGATTAATCCAACCAGCTGTTGATATGGATACTCGGAAACTTTGATGGTCTGAAGAGGGACGGACAGTAAGGGTTTGGTTGCAGAGCCTACCAGGGACTTAGCCAACAGGGTGGGCAACACTGGGGTCAGAAAAATCTCTCGGCTGAGACATAGAGGTGCCTGAAAGGTCACAGGACCTCTAAGCCTGGCATGGGGTGGAGGTGAGGGGTGGTTGGGATCAGTTAACCATTTTTGGGTGATCAGAGAAGGAGAAAGGAACATAAACACGGATGAGGCCCTCCACCCTCACCCTCCCCACCTCACGGAGGGGGAGGACAGTGGCTGAGTCTGAAGAGGAGAAAGTAGGGGAGGGTACAGGGAACAGGACTGCGTGTATGGGGGTGAAGAAGAGATGGTGCAGGCTGGGGATAAGGTGGAGGGGCAGAGGAAGTCTCATCTGGAGAAGGAGGAGTAGGTCTGGGGGTTGGGCAAAGAAGAACCTCCTCTCCTGGGTCAAAATTTGTGAAAGACTTTTTGGGTGAAGAATTGGTTAAGGGAGGTGACACAGCTTTGGAGGGTAAGGAAGACAGTTTTGGGAGGGTTTTTTTTTATTTAGAAGGAGGATCTGGAAGGAATTACAAGACAGACAGAGAGAAGGTTTTGAGTGGAGATAAGCAAAAGCCTGGATGTGTGGGACCTCAGACCATCTGCCATAATGTTGGAGAAAATTTTCGAGATCATGCTGAATTTGGAAATCGAAAGTGCTCTTCTCAGGCCAACGGTTATCATTGTCCAATTTATATTGGGGCCAAATTATGTTACAATAGAAAGTTAGCTGTTTGTGTTTAATGGTCCTTGTGAGCCCCAGAGTCTGAAGATTTTGGAGGAGACAAGCCAGTGGACTGTCCTTTGGGGACTTGGACGACTTTTGATCCATTTTTATGGATTGCAAATTCAAGACCATTCCAGTGGGACCAAAGATCTGAAATGAAGACAATTTCAGTGGAACTTAATTAAGGTCCAAAACTGAGACGACTCCTGTGGGACCTAGACTGAGATCGAGTCCGAAATCAAAACAGTTGCAGTGGAACTGAAGGTTCGAAATTGAGACAATTCTAGGGGACTTAAGGTCCAAAACTGAGGCGATTCCCATGGGACCTAGACTGAGATTGAGAGATGATGAGCAATCCCTCCAGTGGCACTACCTGGTAGAAAAAGACAGGAGCGTCCCCACTGCCAACTGATGGCCTCTATGTGCATGCACCTGGATGTTTTCTAGGTGTCCTCAGAAAATAGAAGGTGAATTTACCCAGTGGTGGATGGAGGAATTCTCTCACCCAGCCGGGGCTTTTGTGGTCCACATTAGGACACAGAGAGAAACCCAAATGAAGGGGAAAACTCACCAAATTTTGAAGGCTGGTGTTGGGCAGAAGTCCATCGATGGGGAAAATGGTTTCTGGCAGAGCTGTCAAAGAAAGGAAGGGAAGGAAAGGGCGGGAGAGCAGCAAAGGAGAAAAAGGGGGAGAGACAGTGGGGATAGGGGAGGAAGACGCCAGCCTCCACTCAGAGTCTGAGAGAGAACCTAGGAAGAGTTGCTGCTGTCCACTGCTTTTCAAATTGCAAGAGTGGAGTGCCCATCCCAGGTCTCCGCATCATATGTTAGAATGAAAGAACAGCACAGAATGGATAGACGGGTTATTGTGGAGAAGGAGCCCTGCAGAGAGGGTCCCCAGCAAAAGAGCTGGATCCCATTGCCACTTACAGACTGGGGTAGATATAAAGGAGGAGGGTGGAGAAGCCCCAAGAAGGTCACTGGACTGGATAATCCTCAATGACCCTCTGACCTTCCCAAGATAATGGCTTACAGGTGGGTCATGGCTTAAGGCAGATGTCCATTTTCTTTAGGACTAGGTGGTGAGTTTTCAATAAGTCACCTTTAAGAGGGAAGGAGTCCAATTCCAAAATGGCTTTCTTTTGTTCACCCTAGCAATAGGGATGTTGTGAGAATTAAATGAATTAAAATTTATGCACAGAACAGTGACTAGTACACAGTAAAAAATAGTTCTAAGATTTTGATAAATCCCATTTTTGGTGGTACTTACCACAGTTTGAACTCAGGGCCTCACACTTGTTAGACAGACACTACCACTTGAACCATGCTTCCAGTTTGAAAAATCCTATTTTTACAGATAAGGAAACTGAGGCACAGAGGAGTTAGGTGATTTGGCCAAGATAACATAACTAGTGAGCAGCAGGCTGGGAATCAAACTCCAGGAAGTCTGGCTGTAGCAGTACCCGATGAAGAAAGGATGTCTCATTATGAGGTGAAGGGGGGGGGCAAGTCCTGAATGAAGTGATGTGGAAGCTTCTCGCACTCAAGTCTTTCTTCTGCTGTAGTAAATGAGGTTTACAGAGGCTGACTGGACTGTCCCCAGGGTGGCCAGCAGTTTTTGGAAGAGGGATCTAAGGGCTGGTGGAATGGCTCAGGTGGTAACCTGCCCGCCTAGCAAGCACAAGGCCTTGAGTTTAAATCCCAGTACCTAAACAAAAAAACAAAAGAAAAAAGGGATCTGAGGCCCAAACCCAGGCTAAAAGGGATTGGCCTGGACTCTGTTCTTACAGTTTATTTACGTCTCACCACTCCTCCTGGGAAACCCAGCATGGCTACACGACACTTATTTGGTGCCTAATAAAAGAACCCAAAATGGAAAATTCTTGCTAAACCTCTAAGAGTTTGTTTAAGCACATGGTAAACTGAATTTAAGTCAACAAACCTTTTAAGTCAACAAACCTTTTACCTGGAGCCTTCTATATCTGGTGTTGTGTTGTGGCTGCTTGAGTCCCAGGATGCTCAAAGTTCAAAGGGAAACACAAGTCAGCAAGCTAGTGGGTCAGGAACCCCAAAGATAAAAAGGAATTAGCCCAGTGCAAGGGGTAGGAAATTTCTGGTCCAGATAATGGCCCAAGCAAAGGCAGGGAAGCTAAATTTCCTTTGGCTAGGCCTTGGTAATCTGGCAGAACTCTATACATTTGATTATGGAGTTAGGAATTTGTCCTGGGGACAGAAGAGAGGCTTAAGCTCTGGAGAGGTCATATTTGCAATCTTAGAAAACTCTCTCCGAGACTGGAAAGGAAGCGGGGACATTTGGAAGGTGCAGCCCTGGCCAAGTGTCACCTGATGAGGGTCAAGGGGGGTTGTCAGGTTCCCACACAAAATCACCCGGACTTGAGATCCACACATGAAAAGCATTTGTCCCACGACAAAATCTCACAAGGGGGAAGTTTTAGCATGGATTTATTTTAGTATAGCAGGATAAAGGAGGAATTAGTGGAGGTTGGGGAGGCAGAAATACATCCTGCTTCCCATGCAGGAAATAGGAGTAAAGCCTCAAAAATGGTCATTTTTTTTTTTTTTTTAGTACTGGGGTTTGAACTCAGGGCCTATACCTTGAGCCACTCCACCACAGTCCTGTTTTTTTGTGTTGGGTTTTTTCAAGATAGGTTCTTGAGAACTGTTTGCCTGGGCTGGCTTCAAATTGCAATCCTCCTGATCTCTGCCTCCTGGATAACTAGAATTACAGGGGTGAGCCACTGGAGCCTGGCTTATATAATTTAAACTATGTATCTAGCTGTATGTAGTTTATTTTATTTTTTTATTTTTGGCAGCAGTGGAATTTGAACTCAGGGCTTCACACTTGCTAGGCAGGCGCTCTACCATTTCAGCCATGTCCCCAGTCCTTTTTGCATTTTTTGTCTTGGAGATTGGATCTCACTTTATACCCAGTCTGGACCCCATCCTCCAATTTGCACTTTGCTAAGTAGCTACAATGTGCCACCAAGCCCAGCCATTGTTGAGATGGGGTCTTGAGAACTTTTTGCTGAGGCTGGCCTTGAATTACCATCCTCCCTAGGAGCTAGGATTCCTCCCAAGTAGCTAGGATTACAGACTTGAGCCACCAGGACCAGCCTCAAAATGGTGGTTATCTGTGGCCTTTATACTTTCTAAGCTGGAGAATACATGTGGTATCTAGCAACCCCTATGAGACAATGGTTCTGGGTGGCCAGGATGGGTGCTGTTCATAATTCTAAAGCATTGAGATGCCTACACAGGAATAGGTCTTCCTATTTTAGGTCTTACCTTTGCTAGATTTTTGTCTCTTTACTCATTAGTGGAACAGTTTGCTGGTTTGTAATATCTCAAAGGTGAAGGCAGGTGTAGAGGGCCCCTTTATTCTTATAACTTAACATCTGAAAGGTGGTGGGAGGGGAGCTAGCTGCTCTGGTTTTTCAGTTTTTACTTCCTGATTCTAATGTCTGAGTCTAGCCCTTTTAACATTCATTTAAAATAATAAATATAATTTCCCTGTCTCATCTATCTGTTCTGCCTCTTAAGTAAGGTTGAGGGTCTGTCTTAGCCTGAGGACAATAGGGACAGAGGAGCCACTAGTACTAGAGCAAAGGCAGTTTTGCTCCGGTTGTTTCTTCGGCCTAACTCTTCCCATCCCCGTGCTTCATTCCCTTTCCTCAGTCTTTGCCATGTGGGATGCTCCCGGGCCGCGCAAGATCCACAGGTGGTCTGGAGTCTGGCCTCAAGTCCCATGCAAGCTGATTTCAACAGCATCTCCCAACACGCACCACCCCGCCCCGCCCTCCCCTCCCTCCCCTTCCCTTCTCTTCCCTTCCAGCAGGCCCCGCCCCGTCCCTCTCGCAGGCTCCGCCCCCACGCTCGCGCGCCAGGCCCGGGCGGCGCCGAGCCTCTTGGCGGGAGATAGGAAAGTGCTTCTGTGCGCGCCGGCGGCGGCTGGAGTTCCTCTGGACGGACTGCGGGACCTGTGGACCCGCTGACGCCTCCGAGCGGGGCCCGAGGCCCGGAGCGGCCGGAGCAGCTCGTGTGTTGACCCCGGCCCGGCTCCCGCTCCGGGCTCAGCCAGCGGGCGGGCGAGCGCGGCGCGGCCCGGGCCGGGGGGATGTCTCGGCGGACGCGCGGGTGAGCGGAGTCAAGCGGGCTGGGGTCCCTTCCCCCTCCGCCTTCTCTCTTCTCCTCTCCGTCCCCCCTCGTCGAGGCCGGGCGGAGCGCGACTTGGGGTGGGGGTTCCCGCGAGAAATGCTGTGTCCTGGGCCGCTCGACGTAGGGGGCGCGCGCAAAGCCAGGGGGCTCTTGGGACCCCCTCGCTCTGGTCCCTGGGCCTGTTGGGCCTCGGAGCCCGGGCGGGTGGGTATCCCGAGACCCGGACCTAGCCCTGCATGATGTCATTATGTCTCCCGCCTAATTGCGGGGTGGGGAATGGAAAGGCGGGTGTCAGCTAGAAGGCCCTTTACTGGGGAGGGAGAGTGGATCTCCAAGTCACAGCAAGTGGGAGGCCAAAGCCTGAGAGAGACACTTGTCGTTCAAGCCCAGTGTGGGTCATGTTTGTCGTGGGCATTGCTTCTCAGCATCCCGGGCAGCATGGAGCCTCGGGGTCCATTGTCTCTCCTACTGGGGTTCCGCGCCAGGCTTTCCTTGGTTTTGGACACCCCTCTTCCGGTCCACACGGGGAGTTTTGGGCAGCGGGGGTTGAGGGTATAGAGACTGATGATGTGTATCAAGACCGCTCTGCCCACAGCCCCCTGGGGCAAAGGCAGGAACTGTGGCTCCATTTTACTTACTCCCCAGAGAAGACGTGGCAGAGACAAGCCCGGACCTTTCCTACACCTGGGGCCTGAGCACTGTGCCTTTTTCAGCCTATCTGGAGAGGGCACAGTGGCGTTCTGCCCTGTTCTCTCCCTGGGTGGGTGCAGCCCACGTAACCTTAGCCCCTTCTTCAGTTGGTGGTGCCGGCCTTGGGAGGCTGCGTAGATCTCAGACGCCCTTCTGGGTGGTTTCCCCAGCGTTCCTCTGGTCCCTGGGCACCTGGAGCCGGGTCTGTCTTCCTCAGGCCCCAGTTTCCCAGGGCAGCCACAATGCCCAGGAGTTTTCAGGAAGAGTCGCTCCTGGAGTGACTGACCCTAGCCATCTCCAGGTCCTCTCCCACTTCTACCCTGGGTTCATGAAGGGACCACCACCCCCACCCCGTGTGGGATGAGCACCCCAGCACCCTCCTTTCTTGGCCACTTGCTATAATTCCCCTGTGCCCCAGTGCCCCACTTCCTGCTCAGCCTCTGACTCAACTGCCCTGGAGCAGAGCCCAGGACATCCAAGGACAAGAGAAAGGGTATGTGCACAAAAATGTGGTTGTCACCACAAGCTGGCCTCTGCTTAAAGCTGGGATTATAAGAGAGGTGAGGACTTGAAAGGGTGGCATTAGTTAGGGTCAGAGCCTAGCTGTGGATTTGACAAGTGGCATAATCCCTATGAGCCTCAATTTCCACATCTGTTAAATGGGGACAGTGAAAATTCAAGGGAAGGAGAAGGCCAGCACTAAGTGTCAGGTATATTATCTTAGAGTTCTCTCAGCTATCTGAAATGCCGTCCCATTACACAGCGCATTGGGACACCATACCTTGTCCAACACACCATACCTTGTCCAACACAGATACTTTTCATTCACTCAGCAGTGGCTGAGTTTCTAGGACGAGCTGGACCTTGTGCTGCATATTGAAGAAGCAAAAACAACTTGTGTCAGCAAAGGAGTCTGGGAGCAGTTGTTTTTAAAAGCCAGTTTCATTCTATTAGTATCTTGTAGATTTTTATCTTCTACTTTACAGTGGTGGAAGACAACGTGAATTAAGTCAGAATGACAGGACAGGTCTGAATTCCAGTTCCTTCTGTGACTTAAAGGATTGCTGGTTTAGACACTTGTTCTTTTAGTTTTTTTTACCTTGATTAGCATTTCGTATTGACAAGGTGGCAGCAGCTTTACGTGTTTTTCATCCATTTATGTATCCAGCCATTCCCTGAGCAAACATTTCTTAAGGCCTTTTAGTGCCAAATTCCAGGATATGGAGGTGGAGCTGACCTTTGTGGACGATGTCAAGATAGGTGGTTGCTGTTAAAGACCTGAGATAAGAGTTTCTGATGTGCTGCGGGAGTGATTAGGAAGCAATGCTGAGTTCTGGAGAAATGGAGGGTGGGCACAAGGACTGTGTTTGCCTTGCTTGTTTGGAAAAGTGTTGGCTTTTCCCAGTTTATAAATGCCTGATGTAGGAACATCCTGCATAGGTGACCTGAGGCAGGTCTTGTCACAAGAAGTTAGAAGGTTACCAACCTGTGAACACCTGACATCCTTGGGGAGAGGTGCACAGTGTGCTCGGTTTTTGTTGTTGTTGATGATGTTTTTGGCTGGCCCTGGCAGTTGAACTAAGGGCCTCACTCTTGCTAGGCTCTACCACCTGAACCACTCTACTAACCCTTTTTTGTGTTGGGTATTTTCAAGATAGGGTCTCAAGAACTATTTTCGCAAGCTGGCCTAGAACCATTATCCTGATGTCTACCTCCAAGGAGCTAGGGTTACAGGAAGGCATGGTGTTCTCCCGTTTTTGTAGCACTTGAGCTGGCTCAATAGGAGAACTTTGGGGAGCAGCTTGGGAACTTGCCTGTTAGCAAAACCCTCCAAAATTCAGATGACTGATGATTGTACTCTCAAGTTTTCTCTTTTAACTATACCCATGAGTAGGGAAGGGTTGAGAAGGGATGTGCAAAAATGGACATATTTACTGAGAATATATTTGAAATGTTTTTCCCAAGTTATTTGTGTTTCCTAAAATTCTGGCGCTTGGTGACTGCATCTGTTAAAAATATCCAACACAAGTATATGTTTGTTACTGAAAAAATTTTCAATGGGAATCTATTATTGGTGGAGTGGCTCAAGTGGTAGAGCACCTGCCTGGCAAGTCTGAGGACCTGAGTTCAATCTCCAGAACTGCCAAAAAAAAAAAAAAAGCTAAGTAAAACTTATAATGATGGAAGTAAGTGGGAATCTGGTTTTCAGTACTGTAATTTTTGTGAGACCTTTTGTTGTGTGTGGTTCCGGAGATCAAACCCAGAACCTTGTGCATTGCTAGGCAAGCTTTCTACCACTGAGCCACACCTCAGACCTTTCTTTTTTTTCCTGTAGCTTTTGAAAACATTAGACTGCTCCTGAAATGAAAAAGAAGAAAATGAAAGTAGCCCATAACCCCATTTCATTAATAAATAAGAAAAGAAGGCAGAAGGATACTTTTTTTTTTTTTTTTTGCATGATACTGGTGATTAAACCTGGGGCCTCTGGAGCTACACCTCCAGCCTTTTGTTTTTGAAGCCTTTTCTAGCCTTGAACTCAAGATCTTCCTGTTTTCTCTGTTATTACAGGTGTGCACCACCATGCTTGGCTACCTTTTAAAAGCAGAAAAAGGAAGTTCTGCTTTCCCAAACCTGTCCCTAAAGTAGGCTGGCCCCTGGCCACACACTGTCCACCCATGATGTAAAGGCATATGGGCACAATGTTCTTGACCTTTAGCTTGCTCTTCCCTGCAGTGAGGAGCTGGAGGAGCTGCACTACCAGGACGTCGACTCTGACGTGCTGGAGCAGAGAGACAGCAAATGCAAGGTCAAATGGACCCATGAGGAGGTGAGTGATGCCTTGAGACTGGAAAGAGGGGGTTTATGGCAGCTGGGGGGCTGGTGAAAGCTAAGCCTGGGTCTCCCTGATGTCCCCAGATGAGGAAGTGCCACTAAAAAAGCTGATGTCCTCTGCTTCTCTCCTTAGAGCAGCCTTGGGGACTCTCAAGCCTGAGGTGGGCTAGTGGGGAAGGGGAGAGCTGTGTCTTAAATCTGGGGCATCAGACATATGTTTCTTGTCCTTTGTCTTAGTCTGTTTTCAGTTATAACTGAATCCCAGAGATTGGGTAATTTATGAAGAGTAAAATTGTATTCATTTCACCATTCTGGAGGCTGGAAAGGTACAAAGATGGGGGGAGGAGGGAAGTGCACCAGGGGAAGGCCTTGCTGGTGAGAATTCTGTCCCTAGGTGGTATAGGGTATTACATGGCCAGAGGGACACATACAAGAGGCAAAGCCAAAAGGCTTTTATAACAGACTCACTCTCAAAATCTTAATCTATGAATCAGTAATCCATTCAAGCCTCATGCTCTAATCACCTCTTCAAGGTCCCCACCTGGTCACACCTTACTACCTCACAGTAGGGATTAAATTTCACACAAGTTTGGTGGTAACTTTTGGACTGCAGCACCCCTTGACTAGTAGGAAATTCAACCAAATCTGCGACTCTTTTTTTTTTTTTTGAGCTATTGGGGTTTGAACTCAGCTTACACTTTGAGCTACTCCACCAGCCCTTGTTTTGTGATGGGTTTTTTTGAGATAGGGTCTCTCAAACTATTTGCCTGGACTGGCTTCCTCCTGATCTCTGCCTCCTGAATAGCTAGGATTATAGGCATGAACCACCAGCATCCAGCATCCTCTTATTTCAGTACTGGGGATTAAACTCAGGGCCTCATGCTTGCCAGCAAGTGCTCTAGTAATCCTCCAGCATGTTTGTTTTTCTATTTTTGCTAGGGCTGCCTCCAGCTCCATCCTCCTGAATAGCTGGGATTACAGGCATGCACCACTATACCCAGGCCCCCCCCTTTAAATTCTGCTGAATCTTGTAACATTAATATCTGAATTGATTTGTTTTGTTTGTTGTGTTTTGAGACACGGTTTCACTATGTAGCCCAGGCTGGCCTTTAACTTGTGATCTCCTGCTTCAGCTTCTGCCCAGAGTGCTAGGGTCAAGGCATGCACCACCACATCTGGCTCTGAATTGATGTTCTGCTAGCTACATCTTTCTATTAAAAAAAAAAAAAGATACTGACAGTATAATTTATAATTTAATCAGTTGGTAATTTATAATGTATTATTTGATTGTAACCTGTATGCATATCAAATGTACTTTTGGGGGAAAGGTGGCACTAGAGTTTTAACTCAGGGCTTTGAGCTCCCTAGACAGATGCTATACCACTTGAGCCATGCCTCCAGCCCTAAACGTACCTTTTCAAAGTGGACAGTTGTTCAGTCTTGGCAAAGACTATGAGTGTTGCCATTGCCATGATTATCCCAAAGGTTTTGTTGCGTCCCTGGGCTGTTAGGTGGCCCTGGCTCCAGGAATTGACCTCAGGTCTCAGTTTGATTCTGCCTGTGCTTGAGTGTCCTGTAGAGTACAGTTGCACTTTTTATTTTCCTGGCTTCTTTTGCTCAATGTAGTCTGGCATGATTGGTGATTTGTCTATCTGTGTTACTGGAAAATAGTCTATTATATGGATGTACTGTACTGTTTTACCTCTTGATGGGAGTTTGGACCATTTCCACCAGTTTTGCAATTATGGATAGCACTTATGTGAAAATTCCTGGGTTTTTTATTCAACAAAACCCCCAAAATTTGCCGTATGAGCTGGTCTGGTGTGCTTACAATCCAAAATGCTCAGGAGGCTAAGGCAGGAGTGTTGCTTTGAGCCCAGGAGTTCAAGCCTAGCATGAGCAACATAGTGACACCTCACTTCAAACAAACCAACAAAAAAAACCCCTTGCTGTATGAGCTGCAAATCACTATTACTCAAGGTGTTTTCTGTTCATGCCACCGTGGACCACAGACTGTAATTGTCTCTTCTGCACCTAGAAAAATAAGACCAGCTTCCTACCCCATCTCTCCTGGGCTGGAGAGAAGGTGGAGCACAGGACCATGGGATGTGCTGTAGACATTCCTAGCCTCTAGCCTCAGCAGGATTTGCCTGGGGTCAGGACTGCTGGCCATTGTATCTCCTCTGTCTTACACCAAGGCTTCTGATAGATAGGAGGCACCTGCTAACAGTTGGATGAGGGGATGTTGACACCTGTAGAAGGAAAGATTGCCATTGCTTAAAGAGGTTAGGGACAGTTTCGAAGAGAATGTGGCCTTTGAGCTTAGGGTGAGGATTTGGAAATTGAGCAGGGAAGAAAGACAAATTGCAAAAAGCTGGGTGAGTCATAGTAAGAAATGGTGGCAGGTGGAGGAATGCAAATTCAGAAGTCCAGTCCTTGAAGGGGAAAAGTGGGTGACAAGGATGAAAAGGCAGATTGGAGCTAATTCTTTAGGGCATGGAATGTTGGACTAAGAAGCCCAAGGGAGATGCAGTCCAAAGCAGAGCTGTGGGAGGTCCTGTTTATTTTTATGCTACTTTGCTGGGAGGTTTGAGAGAGGAGCCTGGCTTCAGGAAAGCTGGTCTGTGTGGGGGCTGGTGGTGAGGCCAGTGCTGAGGGAGAGGCAAATGCCACCAAACCACAGGACTACTTTTGCCCTTTGAGTGGTTTCTCAGTGAGCAGTTAAGTAGTGTTTTCCCACTGATGTACAACAGACCTCTAGGAGGCTTTCATCTTGGAAACTGAAACTACATCCATCAAACACTAATTCCTCTTCCTTTCTGCCCAGCCCTTGGCAGCCTCCTTGCTGCTTTGTTTCTGTGATTGTGACTACCTCCTATGAGTGGATACTTCACATGTGTGGAATCAATTGTACAATATTTGTTCTTTTGCAACTGGCTTATTTCACTTAGCATAATGTTCTCAAGGTCACCCATGTTGTAACATGTTATGTGTTAGAATTATCCTTTTTTTTTTTTCTTTTTTTTCTGGTACTAGGGCTTGAACTCAGGGTCTACACCTTGAGCCATTCCACCAGCCCTTTTTTTGTCATGGGTATTTTCAAGATAGAGTCTCACGAACTATTTGCACAGGCTGGCTTCAAACTACAGTCCTCTTGATCTCTGCCTCCTGAGTAGCTAGGATTGCAGGTGTGAGCGACCAGAGCCTGACAAAGTGAAATTTATTTTCACAATAAATGGGTTTTGAACTCAGGGCTTCACCTTGCAAAGCAGGCTCTCTACCACTTGAGCTGTACTTCCTGTCCTCTTTCATTTTTAAGACTGAGTAATAGTCTATTGTATGTATGTACTGATTTTCTTTGTGTGTGTATATATATAACTTAAAAAAATCAATTTGATGAATACTTTTTGTAAAATCAACCACAGCCCTTTAAAGTACAATCCAATTGAGTTTCCATAGATGTTCAAAGACAGTCACGAAACTAGCAGCACAGTCATGTTATAGAACCTTTACATTCACCCCAATGTCCCTCCCTCCACCGCTGGTCTACTTTTTGTCCTTACTGGTTAGTTTGTTTTGTAAAATTTCATATGCATGGAATTCTACAATGTGCACCCTTTTATGTCTGCCTTCCTTCCTAATAATGAAACTCAGATTTATGTTCCCTGAATCAGTAGTTTAATTTTTAGGAGAATATTTTGATGTTTTGCCTTCCAGCTACACTTGATTCTGCCTGCCTCCAGTGCTGAATCACTTAAGCTCTGGCCTCAGTGTGTTAGTGGCCTGCTTAGATACTCTGCTTTCCAGCACTTCTCCCACCCTGCAACAGCCAGGGGTGCTTCATAACAAGCACATTGGACCTTGATCATCCACTGCGCATATGCATCAGTGGCTCTGCATAAGGCAGAACCTAAATCAGTTCTACCTGTGGTCTAGTCCCTGTCGTCCCTCCCTCCTCCTTCCCCACATTGTAGCTTTACTGCCCACCTAGCTTTTTTTTGATGCTTCAGAGCACCTGCGCTCTCTAGTCCGTAAGTCTGTTGAGATCTGGGCAGATCTGATGCTGCTTGACTAGCACTTGGCACCTAGGTGCACAGTTCATGCACCTAGGAATGAAGGAGGTGCTATCATGGGTGCCCGCAAAGCTTTCTGCACATACGAGCCAAGCCCTCTTTCTCTGGTTGGCAGGACGAGCAGCTGAGGGCCCTGGTGAGGCAGTTCGGACAGCAAGACTGGAAGTTCCTTGCCAGCCACTTTCCTGTGAGTATGGTTCCTCTGTTTCCTCCCCTAGGGGCAAGGGCTATGGGTGATCAGTCTGTGCCCAGGGCAGACTTTCTGCCAGAGGAGAAAAAAATGGGAGCTCCCTCCTCCCCCTCACTTCCAAAAAAGAAATCTCACAGGACCTTTCTTCTCAAACAAATTTGAGGCAGTCTGTTGGAACCATATCCACTGCTTGGAACTATCTCCAGGCTGCTTTAGCAGGCCTGATTGTCCTCAGGCTTAGAGAAATTTGCAGGATGTTATCAGTGGTTTATTTGCATTTTTTCCTGCATGTCAGGAGCAAATAGATACTGTTTCCATATAGAGCCTGAAACTGAAGGGAAGGTCATACTTTGAGCAAGCTTGCCTGTGAGGCCCCTGTAAAGCTGGCTATGCTGATACATTTTAAGCATTTAGAGCCTCCTGAGGATGAGGGTCCCCCACCCTCCAGGACTGCATGTGTCTAGGAGGGAGGAGTGTAGCCTGAGCCCATCTGGCTGACTGCCTGGAACCCACAGGGGTTAATTCACCAGATCCTTCTGTCCTTTTCTTCACCCCTCCCCCCTTTTCCATGTAATCTGAACTCTGAGGAATAAAAGTGTTCTCCCAGAAGATAGCAGGGATTCCTGACATGCCCCCCCAAGATATAGAATCTGAGGTTGTGGCCCCTTCTGTTTGAGTTGTGGAAGGCGGCTTTCCACAGGGGCCTGAGTTTGTCTTCCTTTATAGCAGAGGAAGAGTACCCATGTTCTGGTATATGGGCTTTGGTGAGTGGACAGGACAGGACACACCCACCCGTGCTGTGCCTGGACCCAGGTCCCTGAGCCCTGTGCTCAATCAGAGTCCAATCTCATGGTCCCAGAAGTTTTCACAGATTTCTGTTCTTCCTGTTCTTGTCCCAGAACCGCACGGACCAGCAATGCCAGTACCGGTGGCTGAGGGTTTTGAATCCAGATCTTGTCAAGGGTCCATGGACCAAAGAGGAGGACCAGAAGGTAACTGCTGGCACATAGGGCTGCACACAGTGGGCCTTCACCTACCGCCAGTGAGTCAGGCCCTGTAAGGCTGCCCTTCCTGTTGGAAGTTCCCTGCTGAGTAGATGTGAGTCATCCCACTGGTCAGTCTGGACATTCCTGTATCACTCCCTCTCTAGTCTCAGTGTCTTCAGGGCTCTCCACTTCCCACATACAGGCTAAGGGCTGTTGGGCAAATTACCTAGCTTCTAGATAAATGGTAGCAGCACTGCCACATACAGTTGTGGAAGGTAATGGGTGATGTGCATAGGGGCTTACTCAGCCAACGGCAATAGCCGTTACCCTTTATTCTGGTAATGTAAGCACAGGGCTCAGAGCCTCTGGGGCACCTCACTTCTTTTGATTTTCATTGTCCCATGAGGACCTCCTGAGAAGAGTTGTTATTCCCTTGTTACAGGTGGGGAGACCAAGGTGCAGAGGGTTGAGTTTTCCTTAAGATGGGAAGGTGTGGCACCATGACTACCCAGGGCTTCTTTCCCCACATTCCCTCATCTCTGCTGCTTCTCCCTGATGTCAGCCAGAAAGAAGCCATCCCACCCTGGCAGGCACAACCCCCAGGGAAATGGGGGAGGTGAAGGGAACTACATATTTTTAAAAACTTCTCCACACTCCCCACCCCCAACTCCAAGTGATATGCATTTTGCTGTAAAAATTTAAGCCATAATCTGGTTTCGGTAGTGCATATTTGTAATCCCACTGCTCAGGAGGCTGAGGCAGGACGACCACAAGTTCAAGGCAGTCTGGGCCACATACTCAGGCCCTATCTCAATTTAAAAGGTGCAGAAATAGAGTATTTCCTCGCCAAAATCCCTTTGCACAGAAGTATCCACTGTTCCTTGTTGGCTGTAGCTGGCATGCACTTGAAAATGTGTGTTCACAATTGAAGAGGGACCTGGCTGAGGGGCATTTGTGGACTGAAGTTAGCTCTGTTTTTCTCACAAAAGTCCTGGAGGGGCTTAGGGTACCCTGCGTGGACTGGGGTAGGAAATCTATGTCTTACTCTTAGTTCTGGAGTGGGAAGTGAGCCTTGGGTGTGCTGGGAACCCTGTAGGCAGATCCTCCTCTGCTCTTTTCTAAGTGTATTGACTGGTTTGAACCCTGAAAAGGAAGACAGAATGCCTGCTCCTTATTCTTTGCTGGGTCTTTACTCAAAGATTTCAGGTACTCTTGGCCTTGGTTTATTCTAGGTAATAAATAACAGTGATGTGTAAGGTGCTCAGGCAGTCATGGTCTGCTCAAAGTCATCCTCTAAGCAACATCTCCAATAACCACCACAGTAGCTCATGTGTTGCTTAAGGGTTGGGGCCAGTGACACCTCTCAGGGCCAAAGTGAGAGTCACGTGGATGTAAAGGTGCTGAAGTGGAGGTGATAGAGGAGCTGGTCCTGCTGGTTCACATACACTCTTTTCCAAGGTCATTGAGCTGGTCAAGAAGTATGGCACAAAGCATTGGACGCTGATTGCCAAGCACCTGAAGGGCCGGCTGGGGAAGCAGTGCCGTGAGCGCTGGCACAACCACCTCAACCCTGAAGTGAAAAAATCTTGTTGGACTGAGGAGGAGGACCGCATAATTTGTGAAGCCCACAAAGTGCTGGGCAACCGCTGGGCTGAGATAGCCAAGATGCTGCCAGGGAGGTGAGCTGCCTTTGAGGGTTTGGGGACTTGAGCAGACAGGGTGATGTTCCAGGAGGTAAGGCCCTTGCTTGTGATGGGGGAGCATCTGTGTGCATTTATTCCCTAATCTCCAGCAGTGTCTCCAGGGTTCACAAAGGCATGCACAGTCAGGGAGAATAATGAGGACTCCAGAAAGGCCAGAGGATGCCAACAGAGGCCTCAGCCAAAAACTCAGGTTGTAGAGTAACCTATTAAAACATAAGTCCTCTGTCCCCATTTTTCTCTTTGTATCAAAATGGTTTCCCCAGGTCTCTCTATATAGGTCAGGTTGGCTTTAAACTCAAGATCCTTCTGCTAGGGTTATGAGTTTACCACCACTCCTGGCCATACTCATCTCTTTTTAAAATTCTTCTGGTATTTACCTCCATATTTTCAAATAATACACCATTTTTTAACCTTTTTTTTGGTGGTATTGGAGTTTGAACTCAGGGCCTAGAGCTTGCTAGGCAGGCAGTCTATCACTTGAGCCACTTCTCCAGCCCTTTCCATGTTGGGTAAGGTCTCTCAGACTATTCGTCTGGGCTGACCTTAAGTCATGATCCTCCTGTTTTCTGCCTCCTGAGTAGCTAGGATTACAGGTGTGAGCCACTGGAACTGGGCTGTAACTTGGTTTTTATTTACAGGAGACTTAGCTTTCTTAGACTTTCCTATCCTTCCATGTTCCCATTGCCCCAGTATACTACCATAATTTTTAGTTAAAACAACAGCATTTGCAATATTATTGCCTTGTAAACAAAACTCAATTGCTAGTACTACTATCTAGGATTATGTTTCCTTCTTGTCTGGCATTGTCTTCCTGGAGTTAATTACTGCTTTGATTTTTCATTCACATAGTTTTCAATACAGCTTTTTAGTTTTTGTCAGTGGCCCATCACATCCTCAGAACATCCATCATTGCTTTTTCTAAGTGCTCAGAATGTATCAGGCGAAATATTTCCTCCAAAGAACCAATCCTAACGATCTGCCCTTTTTCCATTTTCCTGTTGCATTTCAGGACTGTTTCCCTATTACTTTGGAGCATTCCTTTGCCTCTCCTATGTTAGATCCCTCTTCTTTCTTGGTTTACTTGTTTTGATGGAGCATACCCTTCATTAGCATCCTGAGATCAGTGAGGCAAAATTTTGGCAATTGCATGTCTAAAGGTGTTTTCCTTTAGAATATTGAGTTTCTTTCAGAGTATTGAAGTCATTCCATGATCTTTTTAATCTTCGAATCTTTAGAAATTATGTTGACTAAAAAGTTTAGTCTGTAAGGTACACTTCTGCTTTTTCTGACATCCTATTCTTATTTTGATTTTTTTTTTTTTTTTTTTTTGTGGTACCGGGGTTTGAACTCTGGGTGTCTTTCTTGGTAGGCAGGTGCTGCTCTATGACGTGAGCGATTCCATCAGCCATTTTCGTGATGTGTATTTTCCAGATAGGGTTTCATCAACTATTTTTCTGGGCCGGCTTCAAACCACAATCCTGATCGCTGCCTTCTAAGTAGCTAGGATTACAGGCCAGAGTCACCAGGCTCTATTTTGTTTTTAGCAGTTTGTTACACTATTTACTAAGTGTTTAAAAATATACCTCCTCCTTCCTGCATTGTCAGTTTCCTCAGTGTATGTTTGTTTGTTCTGCTAGCTCTATTTTATATTGGATACTTTGTTTGAGAGGGTCTGCTGATCTTTGACTGGCTATTCACAGTTAGAAACCAGTCACTAGAAATTGATTGGAGGCTAGGTGTGGTAGCTCCTGCCTAGGATCTCAATACTTGAGAGGCTGAGGCAAGAGAAGCGTGAGTTTGAGGCCAGCCTGGGCTACGTAGTGAGACTGTCTCAAAAAGAAAAGGTAGTTTGGAAGCTCAGTGCACATAGGTGTACTTAACCTGCCAATATGTTTTTGCTGCAGGTATTGGGAGGACATCTGAAAAATGATCAGTTTTCTGTCATTGTTCCTTTTCCAGGAGATGAATGAGCCTTGTGAGAGATCTAGAGCAGGGCAGGGAGAAGTGGACTGGTAATGTCCCATCAGTGTCACATTTTCCTTAGCCCCAGTTTACCATCCCTGCCTTCTACTATGGCCGCAGTTGCCTGGTCATTTCTTCCTAGAGAGGAAGCCTCCCTGCAAGATTGGGGCTAGGATCTGAGCGGAAGTCTGAATAACTGCTCTGTTTTTAGCTTGTGCTTCATCCTTGCTTTTCACTGGGCCTGGGTCCTCCCCTGGGGCTTTTGGGTTCTGCGAAAGAGCCCTGGGATGATTTGGCTCAGTTCTTGCCAGAATCTTTCTCTGGGGCCAGTTTGGTTTCAACTTCCAGTTTCTAAGTTGGGCATTGCTCCCATAACTGAAAACTTGAGAAATCTCTTATTTGCTGCTGTATCCTACATGGTTATTTTACCTTTTTTTTGTGGTGGGGATTGAAGCCAGGGCCTTGCACATACAAGGTACACACTCTCAGCACTGAGCCATGTTCACAGCCCTTTATTTTGTTTTCTTTCTTTGACATGGCAGTGTGGTCTGGGGAGGGAGGGGAGAGAAAATGCTGGGTGATGTTTCTCCTGAAGTCTGGAATTACCTAGTTAAAGAACTCAAAGCAAAGAACATCATTTTGAAGGGATCTGTCCTAAGTGTTGAGCTGGAGACTCAGGCCTCTTTCCTAAGGTGGCCTGGTTGGCCCCATCTTGCTCTACTGTCACCTCGGTCTCTTTCCTAAGGTGGCCTGGTTGGCCCTACCTTGCTCTACTGTCACCTCGGTCACTTAGTCATTATTAACTGCTCTGCCTTCTTTCAGTCTCTCAAGTACTGTGAACTCCTGTGATAACTCCTCCTGCTCCTCTGTGGGCCTGAAATACTCTGCTGCTTTGCTCCTGCTGCCTGTTGTGAGCTCATGGGCTTTCATCCTCCAGTGCTCAGTGAGGGTGCTGTTTGTAGAGAATATTTCTCTGCTTCCAGACTATAGGTTGGTCCTGGTGACCTCTATATAGTGCCCCTACCAGTCTTCTGAGCAGTGTGTACTGTAATTGCAAAAAGATGTGATGCCTGTTTCCCCCACTAGGTAAAACTAAATGTCAGCCTGTCTTATTTGTCTGTGTATCCACAGTGCCTAGAATAAAGCCTAGTGTGTAGTGGGTGCTTTATAAATGTATGTTAGGAAAAGCATGGATCTCATCATAGCTGGAAGGACTCTGATCTTGGGGTGGGAGGGGTAGGGAGGTGTTTTGGGTCAGTCCTCCCTAAAGAGGTCGTGAACCTGAGATGCAAAGATTCAGGTATGTGTGATTACTGAAGTAGAAGCTTTCTTCTTTGAGAGGAGAACTGGAATAGAGAAGGAGCCAAACAAGGATGGGGTCTTAGGTACAAAGCCATATGTATGCGTGAGAGGCGTGTGTGAACGTGTGAAGCAGAGTCAACTATATGTGAGTTGGGTAGCTCCTGAGCATCTTTGGTGTGTCTTCCAGCTACCATTCTTCAGAGAGTCTTAGGTAGAAGATGTTGGCAAAAACACTTAGAGCACCTGAGGGTTGGGTGTTTGTACTCAAGGGGAAGCTGGGTGAAGCACCACCAGCCCAGTCAGCATTGTGTCCTGAGGGTCTGGGATGCAAGTGATCAGATACAGATCCTCTTTATACTGCGTGCTCAGCTAAGTTTTTATTCTGTTCTGATCACATCTCGAGGAAAAAGCACTCTGCTGGAGCCCACAGAAGGAAATGCCTACTGTGTGTTGGCCCTTCTCTGCTGTGTAGCAGTGCATACTGCTACATGGTTAGACTGCCATGTGGTTTGGTGCTTCTGAAGTGCCTACTTCTAGATTTTTTTTTTCTTTTTTTTGGTGGTACTGGGGGCGGTTTGAACTCAGGGCCTCTTGCATACTAGGCAGGCGCTCTACTACTTGATCCACTCTACGAACCCAACTGGTGCCCAGTCTTACATGGGTATGTGTGTCTGTAAGGTAGTACTACCTTATGCTTGTGTGTTACTACCGTCCCACTCTGCTTTTGCACTGCCGTTCTACTGCACAACTGTAGCTGTGTCTCATCTTCAGTGAAGTGGTGGAAGTGACAATAAACACAGAATAGCCTTCTGATTTTCCAATTGAAGAGACTCAGGTGTAAACAGTAAGGGGACCCTCTGCCCTCCTAGACCATTTCTAAGTCTGTGGGAAGAGAGCATTGCTTGCGTTGGACACTATGAGACTGAGGTTGGGGGTCAGCAACCAGTGGTTTGCATCTGGTCTCTACAGATGCAGAGTGGGCAGAGAAAGGGATGAGAGTTCCAAACACATTTTCACTTGTAATTTCTGCCAAAGGCTGAATATTACTTGTGTTTTCATAGAGATGTGTGGGAATTGTCTGTAAATCACTGAGGGCTGGAAATAGATTTTGTTTTAGAGTTCGTGTCTTAGAGTTCATTTACAAAAGTAGCTCAGCTTGGGGTGGTGATGTGCCAGGGACACAGCAGCCAAGAGCTGTGCCTCAAAGGTCCCCATTTTCCTCTGCAGGACAGACAATGCTGTGAAGAATCACTGGAACTCCACCATCAAAAGGAAGGTGGACACGGGTGGCTTCCTGAATGAGTCCAAAGATAGCCAGCCCCCCTTGTACTTGCTGCTGGAGCTAGAGGACAAGGACAGTCACCAGAGCACTCAGCCTGCAGAAGGCCAGGTGAGCCAGCGGCCTCTGCTTCATTCTGGGATGGATTGGGCAATTTCTTTTCACATTTATCTCTAGCCATCTCATCAAACTCCTTATCCAAGGCTTCGTGCTAGTTTCTGCCACAGAGTCTTAAGTGCAGCCTTTGTGTCCTTTTCCTTTGACTTGTGCATGGGTCTGCCTTCAGGAGAATAGCAGACCAGTCAGGTAGGTAACACTGAGATTGGGTCAAGGAGAAGGAGAGCCTTAGCTTCCTGTTGTTAGCAGTGACCTTTCACCTGTTGCACTTTCCACTCCAGCATATTTGCCATTAAAAATAAGATTTATTAGAGTATAATTTACGTAGAGTAAAACTTATGACATTTAGTGTACAGTTCTGGGTTATGCCTAAAGCGTATGGTTATTTGTAGCTGTTAAGATGTACAGCATTACCATTGGAATTACCTTGTGCTTCTTTTCTGTCAGCCTTGTTCCTATCCTAACGTCCTGATCCTGTTTTCTGTCTAATTTTGCCTTTCCTAGACAGTCACATAAATGAAATCATGCAGTATTACACTTAAAGGTTAAAGAGAGAAACCAACGAATGTACATGTTAACATCCCCCATTCCACACTGCGAAACACTTTATATTTAACTGTGTCTTGGGTGTTGATTTAAAAATAAAGATTGTAAGCAAAGGCATGAAATTGGACGATTCTAGGTCCGTGGCAGGAAACAGTCATCCCTCACTGTTTTTCAGTCTTCCCCCCCCCCATCCCTTTTTAAATTAGCATATATTAAGTATACAAAATACTGGATTTGGTTGTAGGCGTTTTTATACATGTATATAATGCTCTTTGATTATGTTCACCAGTTATGCTCTTGCCTTCCCTCCCATGGCTCCCTTTTCTATTACTAATAGTCACCTTTCTACTTTCATATCTCTTTTTTATTCAGTAATACTATGTTTTCATTACTTAGAATTTTATCTTTTTAAAAATGTTTATTATTAGCATATAATAGTTGTACAGAGGGATATACATGATATATACATATGTGCTTACAATAGATCTTAAGTTAGATTCACTCCCTCCATCATTCTCCCTTATCCTCTGCCCCCTTTCTTAGAACAATTTCAGCAGGTTTCATTCTTCTATTTTCATATATGAATACAAAATACATCCACCATATTTACCCTCAGTCACCCTTTCCTTATGCTTACCCTCCCTTCCACAGGTACCTACTGCCAGAAAAGACCTATTTTACCTCCCTGTCCATTTTCTTAAGTGTATATTGATACTTCAGGGGGATTTCGCCATGGTACTTCAGGCCTGTATATATATGCTTTAATCAAATTAAACCCCCCCCCATTACTTTTTCTTTATCACATGCTCCCCTAATATTCAACAGCCTGCAGTGCAATACATTATATTATATTCATATATAGATGGGTTGTTTGATATTTTTCATTCTCTTTTTCTTTCCCTTTCTTGCCTCTCATAATCCCCTTAGACTCACTAATACAATCTTGTTCTCTCTTTCACTAATCGGTATGTTTGTGTGGGTGTGGGTGTGTGTATATACACATACATATATGATCATATGTATTTATAAATCCATTTAACTTACAGGCCTAGCTTCTACATATAAGGGAAAACAGGGGACCTTTGACATTTTGAGCCTGGCTACTTCACTTAATATGATGTTCTCTAGTTTCATCCACTTAGCTACAAACAATGTAATTTCATTCTTCTTTATGGCTAAATAAAACTCCATTGTGTATCTATACCTCACCTCATTTTCTTAATCCATTTGTCAGTTGTGGGGCCTTTTTTATTTAATATAGAATACCCATATGAAAGAATGTGATATTTGCCTTTCTGAGTCTGGCTTATTTTGCTCAACAAAATGATCTCCAGTTCCATCCATTTTCCTATAAATGAAATGATTTCATTCTTTATGGCTAGATAATACTCCATTATATTTATATTTTCTAGTCTGTTCTATAATCCTGGACTACTTAATGATTTTTTAAAATGTGCCCTCTTACTAGCTAAAGATAATTTGTTCATTGCTCTAATTCTTCAGAAATGCCCTGTTGGAGGGTTATATATATGTAATTTTTTCCCTCTATTTCTTAATTTTCCAATTGCAAGAATATTAATACAAATGCACCTCTGGGGTAATAGTAGAATGAATACTAGTAGAATGAATGAAATAGTAGAGGAGGGTATAAGGCAAAAATCCCAACTCCCTGAGTTCCCTTACCAGAGGGGTCTGTTTCTGATAGTTTCTTACATGTTTAAGCAGTGTGCTTTCAACTGTCGGATGGAAGAAGTAAACATTCTGTCCACAGAGAGCATGGACACCCCTACATATGCAGTCTTTCAGCAAGGGGCAGAGTGGACAGATCGACCTTGGGTCTCTAAAAATCCTTCTTTGTGTATTTTATGACCTGGCTTCCATTCCTGACACATCACTGTACTATCTGGAATGCTGGCTGGGCCGGGCCAGGTCTGAGCCCCATCCCAGAGCCCTGAGCACAGGCGGCCAGATAGTTCAAGTGTGCACTCAGTACCCATTCCTTTACAGAACCATTTTCAGTGGTTCTGTTGTTGACTTAGCTAGTTCCTTACTAGTGAACATAAAGGTTATTTCTGATTTTGTTAATGTAAAGAAAACTAGAGTGGTCATCCCTGAAGCTTTATCACCATAGACACTTTACTGAATTTGGTGGTGTTTTTTGGTGATACTGGAGGGTTGAACTCGGTCCTTGCACTTGCTAGGCTTTATCTACCACTTGAGCCTTGATACCAGCCCTGGCTTCATTAATTTTTAACACTATACTAGGGTTAACTTTTTTTTTTTTTTTTTTGGTCTATGTATTATGAATGTACCTGATCCATTCAAGAGTCTATCACTACATTATGGTTCAGCATAGATTTCCTAAAAACAGTCACTTCTGTACCCATAGTGTAGGTATATCCAATTCAGAGACTTTAGCATTAATTCTGGACTTTTATGTCATCTGCAGCCATGTTCCATTTTTTCCCATGATCGGTCCTGGGTCAGATATCAGATCTATTTCTACTGTAGCCTTTCTCGTCTCATGATACTGATATTTTTTTGAACTGTGTTACATAGCTATTTATTTTGTAGAATGTCTCAGTTTGGGTTCATCAGGAATAGTACAAAGAACTCCCAGTGTCCTTCAATTTTGAGTTTCTTTATTTTTAGATTCACACATTGGTTTTTAGCTGGAAACTGCCGCCTAGTCTATATCTCAACAAAAATAATATAGACTGTGTGCCCTTATGTCTAACAGGGAAGTCTTGTGACCAGCTGGCCCCCGGTACCCCCTGCTGTGAAGGAAGAGGAGGGCAGTGAGGAGGAGGCTGCAGCTGCTGCCACTTGTAAGGAGCAGGAGCCTGTCCCTACAGAGCTGGATGAAGTGCATACACCAGAGCCCTTGGAGGGATTCCCTAAGCGTGAAGACCAGGAGGACTCCTCCCCAGAAACTAGCCTGCCCTACAAGTGGGTAGTGGAGGCAGCAAATCTCCTCATCCCTGCCGTGGGCTCCAGCCTCTCTGAAGCTCTGGACTTGATTGAGTCGGTATGTTGGTCACAGCCTTCACAGTGGGCACAGACTGCCCTCCCATCCCATCCATAGGAGTGCTTCTCTCCTTGTGTGCATACAGCTTTTTGCTCCCTCTGTCATCCTGCTACTATTTACTGACTGATACGAGTTGCATGTCTCTGAGCAGGGCCTGGAGACACCAATGCATTCACTTTGTGGTCCTGCCCTTGGGAGCTCCCAGTGTGAGTGGCAGGAGTATGCCCCTCTTGATGTGACATCCAGCTCCTTGCTGCATCAGCCAGGAGTCAAGCCCAGAGCTCCAGCTCTTTCCGAGATTACCTTCCTCCACTGACAGGGTGTTGCTGCATGTGCTGAAACCTGATGTCCCACCCCTGCAGCTTCTGCTCCAGGCAGTTTATGGGCTCTGAGATACCATCAGCACCCCAGCCTCCCTGAGGTCATCCCAGCCCCAAGCTGGCCTTCACTGTTAGGAATGAACTGCCCCAGGCTTCGGCAAGTCCTAAGGACCAGACTTGCCACTAGGCTCAACCAGGGCCACACTTCAAGGACCAAAGTGGAAACCTCTTTTTCCAGAAGCCTTTAGGCTTGTGTTGTAATTTTATGAGTAAAGGTGAGAGGCCCTGGGGTGAGTCAGGTTTCTCCTTAGAAGCCTGTTAGAAGGTTCCTTGGTTAAAAAAAAAAAAAAGCAATATTCATGCTGCCCCAGCAGGACTGTTGTGTGAAGTGCCTCCAGGAGTCACCCTTCCTTCCACTGCAGCATATTTTGATCTCTAGAAATAAGGTTTGTAGACATAGAAAACTGAGGAAACGTATGAGAATGTTAACGGTTGGCCCTGGGCCAGAAACCATATCTGACACTTGTATATTTTCCTTTAATGAACAAGTCCTACTGTTCTAGAAGCAGAGTAATTCCTAACTTTTCTCTCTGGGCAGGACCCTGATGCTTGGTGTGATCTGAGTAAATTTGACCTCCCTGAGGAGCCGTCAATAGACGGCAGTATTGACAGCAGCCCGGTGCAGCCCCAAGCATCACAGCAGCTGCAGCAGCAACAGCAACAGCAGGCACTGCTGCCCCGCCAGTCCACTGTGCCAGGTCCCAGCGTGACTGAGTACCGCCTGGATGGCCATACCATCTCTGACCTGAGTCGGAGCAGCAGGGGCGAACTGATCCCCATCTCACCCAGCACTGAGGTTGGCAGCTTGGGTATTGGCACACCACCTTCAGTACTCAAGCGGCAGAAGAAGCGACGTGTGGCTCTTTCCCCTGTCACAGAGAAGAGTGCCAGCCTGTCCTTTATGGACTCCTGTAACAGCCTCACCCCCAAGAGCACACCAGTCAAGGCCCTGCCCTTCTCGCCCTCCCAGGTGTGTAGGCCCCTCTGGCGCCCATTGGATTATGTTTAGACACCTATTGCCTAGCTGGGGCCTGGCTCTGTGCTTAGTGCTGGGGACCCAGGAGTGAGCAATGACAGACCTATCCCTGTTCCTGTTAGCTTATATGTGGCAGGAAGGCCATTTGTGAAGAGACCCACGTAAGTGTGGTAAGCGGAATGATGGGGGTCCTTATGGTGTATGTATGGCTAGCTGGGGCCCAGGAGGGTTTCTGAGGTGGTGGAAGAAACAGATGGTTCCTGGGCAGTGGAGTAGGCAGGGGACTCAGCTACACTGCTGAAAGAACCTGGTTCCTGACCACCTGTTCATGGCAGCTTGCTTGCACTGGGAGTGGGGAGGTGGGGTAGGAGATAGAGATGGAGATGGCTTGACCCTGCCCTTGGGAGGGAGGTAGTTACTGCCACTTTGTGATGAATTCAGACTGTAGTACACAAAGAGCTTTGGTGACAACAGCTGCTGACTCTTTTAGAGCTTTCAGGGTTCTGGGTCTGCCAGAACTCTGTAGTACACATGGAATGTTGTGGGAGCCAGGCAGGGACCAGGTCTGTCCTAGGGTTTGGAAGGAACTGAGGCTTCCCTGAGGGCCTGGTGAAGTTGGGTCTCCTTTCTTTCATGGCTTTGAGCAGAGGCATAGGGGTAGGGAAGAGCACAGAGTAGGGGTGTGAGGCCAGGGTGGGGAGTGGTGGAGACGAGGCAGGTCTTGGAGTCTTTAGGGTAGCCTAGGGTTGGTTATGCACTGCCTTGGGACTGTGAGAGGATGGGCTGCAGGTTATGGGATAGCTCAGTCCTGAAGCTCACATGTCCCAAAACAAGAATGGTGTGGAAACTTTGGGTCTTAACTGGGTCTGCCCATCCTGTGAGGCCAGAGCAGAGAGCTAGGCTTAGCAGTGTCTTGCTGTAGAAGGTCTTCTGAACTGGAGGGATCAGGATGACTAGTGCAGTTTCCAAGACAGGCTTGTAGCAGTTTAAGGGTCTCCATACCCAATACCACAGGCTGGGTGACTTAAGCAATGGGAACATTTTTTCTTACCACTCTGGAAAGTAGAAGCCTGAGATCAAGGTGATAGCTGTGGGTTCCTCTGAGGCACTCCTCCCTGTTCACATGGTCCTTGTGTGACTGCTTTAATCTTTTATCTTTGAGCAAAGATAAGAACCTACTTCAGTCACTGGCTTAGGGCCCATCCTAATGACTTCATTTACAGTTGATTACCTCTTTAAAGGGCCAGTCTCCAAATACAGCCCCACTCTGAGGTTCTGGAGGTTAGCAAGCACCTGAACACATGAATCTGAGAGAGGTACAATTCAGCCCATTATACTTGAGGTGAGGGCTGCTGACTAGAGAAGGAAGCCATCGGAGCTCAGGGTGGCTCTGTAGCCTTGGATGATAGGGCAGGATGGCAGCTGCCCTACCCCAGAGGCCTTGCAACAGGGGGTGGACCTCTGAGGCTGCAGTAGTCTCTGAGCTCATGATAGTAGCTTAGGGCATCATCATCCCCTGTGCTTCCACAGGTTAGTTAAGAGCTGGTTTTATTTCTTCTGGAAAGTTGCCACTCCTGCATCTTTCTTTGTCTTCACTGCCCTGAGGGTAATACAGGCTAGGATTTGGGTGAAGATAAGCCCAGCATCTACACAACCTACTTTGTGGGCTCCTGTCTATCTGTCCTGGTGTGCCAAGGTCAGACGGGGACCTCAGCCTGAGAACAGACATTGTGGGGAGGTGTCCCTAAGGGTCTCTCCCTGCTCCCCAAAGGCCTCAAGAATCCATGCAGGCTATCTTGTCTTATGTTCCCGCTTTTCCCTGGCAGTTTCTAAACTTCTGGAACAAACAGGACACCCTGGAGCTGGAGAGCCCCTCACTGACGTCCACTCCAGTGTGCAGCCAGAAGGTGGTAGTCACCACACCTCTGCACCGGGACAAGACACCCCTGCACCAGAAGCATGCTGCGTGAGTGCTCTCCTCAGCAGAGGGCAGCCATTCAGTGGCCAGGTGGTGGGGAGGGGTGTTCTGGGGCAAAAAAATGGAGATTGGTGTTCTTGCTACCACAGCTCTTCATTTCTGTCAGTAGTCTGTTGCTTTACTTTCTTTTGCCCTCGTTTTTAGTTTTAAATTAGATAGTTTTGTCTTCTTGGGAATAAGAGATAGAGAAGTCCAAATTACCACAAAAATACAATCACTTCCCCCTTCTATAAATGTCAAGTGCCAATCTGCTATGTTTGAATAGGAAAGTGGCCCTTCTGTCCCTGGACTCTTATCTGCCTTGGGTGCTTACAGCATGGTGGTTCCCATTCATCCATGGCCTGTGCCTTAGCCTGCATTTCTAAAGGGCTTTCGAAATGCATCCATGTCCCCTGTGTTGCTGTGACTGAATTCCAGGTAGAGTTGCTTCACTGCTCTTCCACTTACTGGTTTTCTGCTTAAGAAGCAATGCTGTTATTCCATGAGTAAGTTAGGTAATCCAGGAACCAATTCAGGAATTTAGCCACTTGTTAAGAGATTTCGGAAATCAGTCATTATACAGTTTATCTAAAAAGATAGGTCTTGTGAGAATTGGTTCTCCTTTCAAACCCAAACCCTGGACTTTACATCAAAGCCCTTAAACAGAGACCTTAGTACTTCCCTCTCCTTTTCCTTCTCACACCCAGTAACATTTGATTAGATGCCAAGCACTGAATTTTACCTCATGAGGTTTTTGTATTCCTACATTTTCTAGAGCTTAGTTCTGGTATGCAGTAAGTATTTCTATACTTAGAAATAGTTTGGTCTTGTGTGTCTTACTTTTTAAGGTTTGTTAAGAGGAGACAGAGCAGTGTCTAATTCTGAATCCTTCAGCACTCTCTTCGATGCCTTGTGAGTGAAGAGATTGTCCAGTCTGGTGGAAATAAAGCATTCTTCTCAGCCCTGTATGATTGTCACATACTGTTCCCTCTCATCTTTTTGGATGGTTCTTCCTGGTCCCAGGTAGTTTCCTCACATGTTTGTGCAGGTTAGTGCTTTACTGAGGCTCTTCTTTGCAGCCCTCGCCTTCTCTGGCTCTGCATCTTGTGATCTCCCTGGGCTCTCAGCGTCTTTGCAGCTCAGGAGTCTTACCAGGCTCCATCCACCTGGGTATCCGCCCCCTGTGCTGTGGCCAGGACTATCAGCGCAGTTAGCCAGAGCAGTCATTGACTCACCCCCTTTGGCCACATTTCTCAGGAATCACTCTTCAAAAAAAATTTTTTAATGTTTGCTAAGACGTTACTAGACAACAGTTATTTGGGCTTAATTTCCAAATTGGTATCATTTTATTGCCACTGATTTTGTATATCATCTTTTTTCTTTTCTCCACAAAAAGGTTACAGTTTATTGGAAGAGACTGTTTACTAACAAAGGTAGATAGATGTTCCTTAACTTAAAATAGTGTTACATCCCAATAAACCCAGTGTAAGTTAAAAATACCATAAGTGAGGTTGGGGTGTAGCTTAGTGGTAGAGTGTGTGCTTAGCATGCATAAGGCCCTGGATTCCATCCACAGCGCCAAGAAAGAAAGAAAGGAAGGAAGAAGAGGGGAATGCATTTAACAGACATGACCCACTGAATCTCATAGCTTAGCCTACCCTACCTTAAACATACTCAGAGTACTTACATTATTTTACAGTTGAGCAAAATCTGCTAATAGAAAGCATATTTTACAGGAAAATGCTATCTTGTAATTTATTGCATACCAAAAGTGGAAATCTGAGTAGTAGTATAGGGGTACTTTTAAATCATCATAAAGTCCAAAAATCATGAATACTCAACCGAAAGTGAAAATCTGAATAGTAGTGTGGGTGTACTTTCAGATCATCATAAAGTCCAAAAATTATAACCATCCTCAGTCAAGGTCAGTTGTAATCAAAGCATAGATCAGTATGTCGTCTTTCTTGTGGTGAGGGACATGATAGAGTAAAGGCCTGAGGAGCAGAGTAATGGCGGGGGGTTTCTGACTTGATAAGAAGTCAGGGAGGTCCCTGTGAAGGACTCCCAGGAGGAGAAGATGGGAGGAGAAGGGAACTGCAAAAGCTCCCAGGTAGAAGCATGTCTTTGTATTCAAAGAGCAGCAATCAGGCCACTAGCTGGAGAGAGCAAGAGGAGGAGTGTTAGGGGTCCGCATTGGGTGGGTCAGTTCTGTCCAGCTGCTTCCTTTACAGTCTTTCTGTATGGATCCTTGTAGATCTTTCTTTGTTAGTTACTCCTCAGATTTGCCAAACTATGTAGGTTTGGTATTTCTATATAACTTTTTTTAAACACCCTTTTTCATCTCTATATTCCTGTTTATCATTTTAAACCTTTTCTTTGACTTACTAGAATTTTATGGTATTGTTTTCTGATTTGCCAGTTTGGTTTTCTCTGGTTTCTTGCCTTTCCAGGCGTCCAGAATTGCATTTTTATTTCCAAGCAGTCTTTCGTGTTCCTTTTTACAGAGACCTTCCTCTATTGTTTTGTTTTGTTTAGTTTGTTTTTTGTTTTTTGTTTTTTTTTTTTTTTTTTTTTTTTTTTGCAGGCTGGGGATGGAACCCAGGGCCTCGTGAATGCTAGGCAAGTGCTCTAAACTGAAGCCAAATCCGCAGCCCCTTCCTGAGTTTTCTAATGTTAACGTGTACTCAGTCTTGTGGTGCTGTGGATTAAAGAGGCTCTGGAGTTCCTCACATCCCTATCCCCCACCTTCCAGGTACTTGAATGCAGCTCATGGTCTTGGTTTGAACTGTATGGTGTTCACCTTTGGCTTGTCCTTGTTTTCTCTTCCTTCAGAGGGAGAGTGTCTGTGAGTGTCCTTGTAGGAGATAACAGGTTGGAAAGAGATTATATGGATGTTTGTCTGAAGGAATAAAAGAATGGTCTGTGCTTGTTTCAGCTTTTTATCTCCTCAAGGAGTGGCTTGGGGCTGAGGAAAGGGGCTGACAAGCTGCAGGTAGTCATGTCCCTGTCTAGTGATGTCCTCTTAACTGACCCAGTTCAGCTGGGAAGCATCTCTAGGTGATCAAGGCCAAGTAGGCCTTGCATAGGGGTCATGTTTTGGGGGTCTGCACCTGCCAGCAGAGCTAAAGCTTGCCACAGCCCTGAGTCCTGAGGTACCCTGCTCTGGGGTATCTTTTCTTCCCTCTGCTCTTCCCAGAAAGTTTCTCAGTTGCAGGCAAAAAGCACACAGAGTGACAACATCTACTAGAAGGGCTCAGTGAATCTGTTTCTGAGCCAGGCTATTCCCAGGTTTCTCACTGCTGCATGTTTCTTCCACGTTTCTCCCCCACCATAAAAATTGGAGGTGATTTGGGGAGATGCTGGCCTCACCATCTTGGACAGGGCTGTGGTCCTCCTAGTCTGCCCCTTGCCCCCTCTCATTGGGTCCAAAGTGTGGCCAATCTTGTTTATGGAAAATCCCATGTGTGGACTGTGACCAGTCAACATCTTCTGTCACCATCTTGAGTTTCCTGATCTTGTCACACCCCGACTTGTCCTTTCTGAGGGCGGCCCTTTCTCTGAGCCCCTGACCTGGGCCTAGGAGGTGGGAGAACAAGCACCTGTGTAGGGCCACTAGGCCTGAGTTTGGGGGAGGGAAGGTAAGAAAGAGTCTGTGCTTCTGAGCCTCTTCCTCCGGTGCCTGGCAGGTTTGTAACCCCAGACCAGAAGTACTCCATGGACAACACTCCCCATACGCCAACCCCATTCAAGAATGCTCTGGAGAAGTATGGACCACTGAAGCCCCTGGTATGTGATGCGGCCAGGAACTCCTCTGGCCTCTGCTGGAGAGGTTGCTTAGAGTCCTCAGGCCTGAGCAAGGGCCTACCATACCCAGCCTTTTTTTTTTTTCTCCTACCTTTATTTTGAGATAGGGTCATCTTGCTATGTTGTCTAGGTTAGCCTCAAACTCCTGGGCTCAAGTAATTCTTCTGCCTCCCCCACCTCCCCCTGCCAAAGTAGCTGACACTTTGGGATACTGTGGGCTTAAAGCTTGAGAATCTAGGTTCCCTCAACAGCTGTGTCTTCGGCAGGCTCTTGGTCTCTGAAATTGAGTTTCTGTCCTGCAAAGTTGAGTTACTGTATAGGTCTGTAGGGCTATTCCTGACCATGCAGGCCCTGAGGGATGTTTGTCTAATCTCTGGGTCCTGAAGAAGGAGTAAAAGAATGGTCTGCTTGTTCTAGCTTTTTATCTCCCCATGGAGTACTTTGGTCTACTTGTCCAAGGCTGAAAAGTTAATGTAGTGAATGATGCATTTGAGGTCAGCGTTCTTGGCCTAGTACTGCCCAGTTGTGGATGGTCTGCCCTGAAGTCCCATACCTACCCAGGCCTCATGTGGGCCACCCTTGCCCCTATCCATAGCCCCAGACCCCACATCTGGAGGAGGACTTGAAGGAGGTGCTACGCTCTGAGGCCGGCATCGAGCTCATCATGGAAGACAATGCTAGGCCTGAGAAGCAGAAGAGGAAGCCTGGAGTGAGTGGCTCAAGCTGGGGGCAGTTGAGCAGGGGAAGGTGGAGCTGGGACATACTCATGGTCTAGGGACAGGAGGGAACAAGGTGCCTTATCAACAGTACTGACAAGATCAGGCCCTGGGTCTTATCTGGGCCTCATTTCACCCCCTTTGAATAATTCACATACTTGTTCAGCACTGTGATTGGACCTTCTGAAGCAGGCCTTGGGCTGGGTGTGGGGGGTGCAGCAGTGGTGAGGACCAGAAAGGCCTTCATAGACTTCAGCAGCTGGGGACAGACTGTGACAGATACCGTGTGACTGTTGGAATCCACATGGAACGGAGGGCAGCAGAGGAGGGCAGTACTCCAAGGGCCTCCTTCCGTGAGGTGGGCTGGGTGCCTGGGTTGTGAGAGCGGAAGGAGAGGGACAGGGAGAAGACTGTCTCCATGGTGGCACAGATTCCAAATTTCAGAGTCAGCCCCTTCCTGTTGCTCTGCTTTTAGCACTCCCAGTCCTGAGTGGCCTCCTTATGTATCCTTTGTCTTTGGGCTCTGTTTCCCACCATGCTCTTCTAGAGAGGCAGTGGAAGGGATGAGGATGAGGAAGGAAGTTGGGCTGGGTTGGGGACCTCCCGTGTGGGTGGTAGGTAGAGAGAATTTGACCCAAGGCCTGCATGGCCCTCCCTGACCTACTTTCAAGAGGTGCAGGTTAGGCCTGAATGTTCCTTGTAGATGGCATCTGCGGAAGGCAGATGGTCTTATCTGGCTGAGTATTTTAGGTATCACTTGGGTGATTCTCTTCGGGGCATGTCTGTTGGCATGTTTGGTGTGGTGGACGCAACCTGGGTGAAGGGCAAGTTTCTTGGTGAGTGGATGTTTGTATTGGGTCCTGCTTTCTATTACAATGTCTGGCAGGGCAGGGTCCACCCTGGGGACAGAGTCTGTAAAGGGACCAGTGTCTTCCCAGTCCCCCCAATATCCAAGAGTAGTCCCCACAAGCTAGGCCATGAGGGTTCCACTGTGGCAAGTCCTGGCTTTGATGCCATCTGTGACCATGGCCATTGAGGTGGCACTGTAACCAGCTCCTTCCTCTCCAACCCCCAGGGGCGTCGGAGCCCTGTCAAGAAAGTCCGGAAGTCTCTGGCTCTTGACATTGTGGATGAAGATGGAAAGCTGATGATACCCACACTGCCCAAGACTCTGTCTTTGGTAAGGGGTCAACTGTGATCACCCTGCCCCAGAATTGTACTGAAGATCACTCACTCTTCTACCTGGGGTGGTCTCCTTGGAAGCTTTCACCTTTGGAGCTCTCTGACTGTGGAGAGGTCTCTGGTTTTCAGGCCTGGCTGAGGAAGGATTGGGTCCAGTAGAGGTGAGGAGGGGCTGCTGGCTCTGGGCCCTATCCTAGGCCTCATTTCATAGCGCTGCTGTGCCTTTCCTAGGTTTTATTTGGCAGGAGCTGTATTGCTGCACCACCATAGTTTAGAAACTGTGAGGTCTGGGCTCCCAACACCCTCCCTTGCATTGTGTATCTCCACGGAGGGTTGGTGGAGTCTCCAGGCACAACCCTGGGATTAGGCACATCAGCCCTTGAGTGGGTGCCATCCAGCTCCCAGGCCAATGTTTGCTGTACTGGGTGTGATTGTCAGGCTGCCCTGGGATAGGACGGCATTGCTTCACAGAGTGTGGGATCAGCAGTGCAGCATGGTTTCTGGAACCCATGCCTTGCCAAGACATTGCCCTTCACAGGCATTGGTGCCCACTAGGGAGGCAGTGAGGCATGGTGAGTTCATGATCTGAGGGTAAAAATTGACTAGATCTTACAAATGAGACTGCAGCCCTGGAGGTCTTTGCAGAGAAACTGCTCTGTGTCTGGAGACCCTGGCCAGGCTGGGGACTTAACTCCCTCTAGTTAGATCTTTGGCTGGCAGTGCCTCAGGCAGGCTTTTTTTTTTATTTTGCAGTGCTAAAGATGGAACCCAGGGTCTTAGACATGTTAGGCATGCACTCTAGCATTGACATGGGTGTGTGAATTAACATTACCACCAGTGGTGAAAAGTGTACTTGAGTGGAGCAGGCCTGGGTTTGAGTCCTGATGCTATCACTTGCTTCCTGGGATCTTGGCTCCCTGAGCCCCAATTTCTTAGCTCTTGTAGGCAACTAAGTACTCTTAAAGGGCATAGTGGCTTGTGCCTATGATCCCAGCTACTTGAGATGCAGACATAGGAGGATCTCACAAGACCCTACCTGGAAAAAATAAACTCAAAAGAACTGCGTCATGTCCCAAGTATGAGGGCCTGAGTTCAAGCCCCAGTCCTATCAAAAGTGAAGAGTGCACCAAGCTCTGGTAGACCATTAGAAGGAAAACTATCAAGAGCAGAGCAAGAAACTGGATAGGCTCCCTGGTGGGTCCATGCTGCATCCCTGTGGTCTGTGGTGTTATTAGGACCAGGGGAGCTGTGGAGCATCTTGGCTCTGCCTGTGCTGCATGTGAAAGGAGCTGGCATTGTGAGTGTTGCTGTAGGTGCCAGGCTCTGAAACAAGCACTTTGCAAACACTTGCTTAATGCTTTTAAGTTAAAAAAAAAAAAAGTAATCCTACTTAAACTCCACTTCTGAAACAGGGAACAGAGGCCTAGAGAAGTTAGCATTTTGCCCAAAATCTCAAGTCAAAAGGTTGTCCTTCCTTCCTCTCTTCCTCTCTTCCTCCCTTCCTCTTTATCTCTCTCCCTATACTGACTAACTTGGTTTTGATTTTAGCCGACAAATGTCCCATCAAGCTCTTCCAGCCTCACCCTGCCAGGTATCAAAGAAGACAACAGTCTGCTCAACCAGGGCTTCCTACAGGCCAAGCCCGAGAAGGCGGCAGTGGCCCAGGAGCCCCGGAGCCCCTTGCCAGCCCCAGCCCCTGTGAGTGTTGGCTGTCCTCCTTGGGGTTCATCTTTGCTGCCTGTCTCGCCTCAGGGTCTTGCACAGGAGCATCCTGCTGCCTTTATGTGGCCTGGTTTGCCCAGTTCACTTCTGATCGCAGTCCAGACCTTGGGGAGGCCTTCCCTGAGGGAAGATGCACCAGCCCCGGTTCCCTGTCTGTGGCCTGGTCTCATTGGTCACTAAGTCATTGTGTATTTGGTTTGTTTTAGTGCATGTCTGTCCTTGAGGGTAGGGGCTGGCTCTAGGCCACTCACATCTGAGCATCCTCACAGGCCCGCCTGGCTGGCTTCTCCTGAGGCTGATAGGTGCCATATGAGGACACAGCCTAGTCCCTGGCCCAGCCTCCTCCTTTCCAGAAAGAAGCCCATAGATGGGGGGAACAGCTCCCCCAGGGTCATCCAAAAAGGTGGAACGCTTCTAGAGGGAAGGCCTCTGTAGAAATGCTCCCTACACCTCTCACCAGGGTTTTCTGGGAGCACACAGTCCTGCCTGGATGTAAGTAACCTTCTTGCCTCCTCTCAGATGACCAGCGCCTGGAAGACGGTGGCCTGCGGGGGGACCAGGGACCAGCTCTTCATGCAGGAGAAGGCCCGGCAGCTCCTGGACCGCTTAAAGCCCAGCCACACATCTCGGACCCTCATTCTGTCCTGAGGGACTTGGAGGGCACGAGCCTGTTCTCATGTTTACAGGGGTTCTGAATTGAGAGTCACACCCAGGTGACTATCTACAGGGAACCCTCGGCCACCAGCCCCTCGTCAGACTGCTTAGGTGGCAGCAGAAAGGCCACACACTGTCATGTCTTGAAATTCAGCTGCAGGTGGTTCCTGGTGCTAACACAACAAAGTCCCACTCCTGGACCTGCCTGTCCCCTCCCTCCCAGTGCCACAGGGAGCCTTGTTAGCTTCCCCAAAACTCTGGTCAGGCCTGGCCTCATCTCAGACCCCTGCTTAAGTCAGGGGATGTGGCCAGCATGAGCCTTTCCTCAAACCTTCTTGGTACATTCTCTTGAAAGAATAAAATTGTCCTTCTTGTGCAGCTCTGGACTTGACATTTTTCCTGGGTCCTGCTCCAAGTTCCTGGTCCTGCCTTTTGGGATGTCGGTACTTGCACTCTCGGTCCTCTTTAGCCTTGCCCTAGCACATCAAGCAAAGCCTTAATGAACCACTCCACCACCTTCTCCAATTCATCTCTGCCTACTCACTCATTCCATGCCAGAGTTCAGAGGTGCTCACTGGAGGCAGAGCCAGAAACTTGTTCACCAAACCCCTCTGGGAAAAGGAACAGAGCCCCTACGCCTAGTTCAAGGCTAACCTAGGCAGAAATGTTCATGGCACCCCCATCTTCAAAATAACCAAAGCAAAAAAGGCCTGGAGGTGTGGTTCAAGTGATAAGAGTACCTGCCTTGGAACCACAAAGCCCAGTACCACTACAAAAGCAAATATAGGGAGGGTCCCTCCACCCTACATGCCCAGCACATACCTTGTTCTACAAAAAAACCACCTTATCTTTTTTGTGTGTGTACATGTACTGGGGTTTGAACTCAGGACCTCAAGCTTGCCCGGCAGATGTTCTACTACTTGAGCCATGCCACCAGCCCCAACCTTAATGGAGCCTAAGTTCTAGAGAGAACAGACAAGAGCAACTGTATAACACACCAGTGGTAAACACTGATTTGGCAGAAAAACCAGAGCATGGGGGCCTGATGAGCTGCTTAGGGAAGGTGAATGGGAGGGTTTCACACAGCCCTTACCACCATGGAACAGGGAAGAAGGACCCACCTAGAATGGAGAGACCCCTTACCACTTAGACGGTAGTCAGCTATTCAGCTGTGAGTTTTGGGGGGGCTGGGAGCTCTAGTAGAGCCTTCACAGCCTTGGGGAAACTTACGTAGATTGATTTGGGGTTGGAATAAGCCAGAGCATGCTCAGGAAGGATGGGAGTACAGGAGTGGGAGTGTTAGAATCCACCTGGGAGATGGACTGGTAGAAGGGGAAGAAGTGGTTTAGTTAAGATGATGGAGGGAAAGTGTTCTAGCAAGATCCAGATGGTGGCCTATCATTAGGTGCTGGCTTTGGGTGAAGTTGAGTGGCCAGTAGGCTGTTGTATTCTAGTAACTGCTCCGTGTAGCCATGCCTTGAGTGGGTCACATGACTCTTTGCTCAGTGGGATTCTGGGGTAGTCTGCTGAAGGAGGCAAGAATTCCAGCTGCCCTTACTGAGACTGCAACATGGGAGTAAAGCCATCCTGAACCACCAGCCACACCTAGTTTGGCCTAACCCAGAGGAATCATGTAGCTAGTCAGACTTAAGAAAAATAATAGATTATAAGCTGACATAATGGCTCAAGTGTAGAGTTGCCTACCTAGCAAGGGTGAGGCCTGGAGTTCAAACTCCAGTACCTCCCCATCCCCCCAAAAATTGTTTTAAATCACTGATTTGGGGGTGATTTTTATTACACAGCTGAAGCCGACTGATACAGATGCTGGCATGGGGAGCTGTGATAGGTGGATACATGGGTGTTCTAGGATAAATTGAGCAAATGTCCTGGTTCTCAGGGCAAGGCACGGACGGGTGTAAACAACCGAGAGCTGGAGCCCAGGTTCAGACCAACCTGGGGTAGAGGAAGAAGGCTTGGACATTCTGCACTGAAATTGCAGGGCTGGAAGTAGGGCAAGCTCCCTTGGAGAGGTGGGGAGGTAAAGCTAGTGATTCACCCATGTCAATTTTCCTCAGAGGGAACCACTGCTGCTGTGCTAGGAAGAGCTTTTGGGATTCTATTATGCAAGTGAGTTGTAGGTGGGGCCTGAGATGCTGCATTCATTTATTTTGGGTGGGACTGGGGTTTGAACTCAGGGCTTCACGTTTGCAAAGCAGTTACTCTACCACTTAAGCCTACCTTCAGTCCGTTTTGCTCTGGTTAGTTTGGAGATGGGGGTCTTGCAAACTACTTGCCCAGGCTGGCCTTGAGCCACGATCCTCCTGATTTCAGCCTCCCAAGTAGTCACTGGCGCTCGCTGAAATGCTGCATTTTTAAGCTCTCAGCTGATGTGAGGTGAGGACAGCATTTGGTGTAATTGGTCATTTGCTTAGGGTAAGAACAGCAGGTCCTGTGTTTTTATTAACCAAGTTCAGTGCTTCAAGGTTTTAGAGCTATTGCTGTTTTTCCTTCCTGTATCTCCATGGCATCTTGCAGAGATAATGGAGACCCAGTTCTTTCCAAGAAGTCTGTCCACAGACTGACAAAAGCTGAGGGCAGCTTTTGTTCACCATACCTGAACCATGGTTACCACACTGGTTACGGGGAGGAGGCTGTACTGTGCCTTTGCCTCCCAGGCAGTAGAAAGTCTGAGGAAGGACTTTGCCTGAGGCTGAAAGTGCACTCGTAGTGTTATTTTTGAGACGGGTTTGGAATTTTAGCCCATTCTGCCCTCAAACTCATTATCGTCCTACTTCAGCCTCCCAAGTGCTGGGACTATAGGCATGTGCCACCCTGCCTGGCTCCCCCATAACCTCCAATTGAGCAGGACCATGCCTGTTGTGTTTTCTGCTTAATTTCCAGCATGTCATCAATGCCTGGCATATAGTAGATGCTCAATAAACACTTCTTGAAGTGCAGAAAACCAAGAGAGATCAGCAGTACTCTGGCAGTTGTTGGACATATGTGAGCAAGGCAGCACTGTCCCTCACCAAGGCCAAGAAGACTGGACCTACTCTCTGCTCATGACCATAGGTCCTGACCAGAACCAGTGGTATGAGAGTTGTCTCACGTGTCTTTTTTTTTTTTTTGAACTAGGGTTTGAACTCAGGGCCTCAGAATCGCTAGGCAGGTGTTCTATCACTTAGTCACTCTGTCAGCCCTTTTTTGTGTTAGGTTTTTTCAAAATAGAGTCTCAGGAATTAGTTGCCTGGGCTGGCTTCTGACTATGACCCTCCTGATCCCTGCCTCCTGAATAGCTAGGATTGCAGGCATGAACCTCCCGTGTCCAGCTGTCTGTATGTCTTGATGAAAGGGATTACCTACTTCTTCCACTCCAGCCAGGAGACACAGCCCTGTGCCCTGTCCTGCTAATCATCCCAGGTCCCTTTCACAGGCTGGAGCTCAGTCCTTTTGCTTTTTAAAATTGTAACAACGTACGACAAAATTTACCATCTTAACCTTCAGCAAGTATATAGTAGCATTCAGTGCATTCTTGTTTGTGCAACAAATCTGCAGAAGTTTTTCATCTTGCAGAGTTGAAACTACCTATTATACCTCTGTTCCCCTTTGCCTCAGCCTGACAGCCCCTTACCCCACTTCCAGTTTGTGAATCTGACCTCTCTAGGAGCCTCATGGTCCTGGAATCATACAGTATTTGCCCTTTTTCAGTTGGCTTATCTCACTTTAAGGTTCATCTGTGTTGTGGCACGTATCAGAATTTCCTTTCTTTTAAGGCTACCTAATACTCCACTGTGTGGGGATGTACCATGTTTTGTTCTTTCACTGATCTGTGGGGACCTGGGCCATTTCCATCTGGCTAACCTGAATACCATTGCTGTGTGCACAGATGGTCAAACGTCTTCAAGATCCTGCTTTCTTTTGAAACTCAGAGATGGGATTGATGGCAGTTGTTATTTTAACTTTTTTGTTAATGTTTTGTTTCGATTAGGTCTTTGGTATTTCAGGTAAAGCTATACTTGTGTATGCAGGCAATGAGGGCCTGCCCCATGTAGGTCATTTGCTTATCCTATCATCCAAATATTCTATATCCTGGTTTTTTGTCTGCTTGTTTTTGTGGACCTAGGTAAGCCACACCCCTAATGACACATGATAAGATTGTTGTTTTAAACCACTGAATGTTGGGATGATTTTGTTTCCATTTTTGTGACAATATCTAGCTGATACAGAACATAAGTGTTTTGCCTACTAAAAAGCCCTAAGGAAAATGAACAATGAATTCTGGGGTCAGTTATATGAGGGAGGAACTTAGGAGCCCTGAGTTCCCAGAACTTTTCTAGCAACCAATGGGGTGGGGGATTCTGGAATCCAAAGACATGACTAAGCTGTGTCTGAGTTGTCCCCATGGGCTGGAGGCACCTGGGGAAATCGGGCTCCAGGCACCTGGGGAAATCGGGCTCCTGCCACCTGGCACACCCTCTGTAGTACTCCTGGCAGTCCTGGGTGAAGTTCTGACTCTGGATGCCCTGATACAGATCCAGTGTGGCTGTTCCTAGTGGTGTGTCCTGGTTGTGTGTCTTCACTGCAGTGAGCCTGGGGTCGTCAGCTATGAGGTGGAGATGAATCCTAAATTTTCAGGGTTGTGGAAGGGATTAGAGTGTCACACACTTGGTGCTCAGATAATAGGGGCCCCTGTGTTACTATGAAATCTTCCTCATTTCTTTATATACAATAAACCCTGCACAGGAGAAGTGTGTTTCAGTGGCATACTCAGAGGGGTGGGTTGTAGACAGTGGTCAAGTCAGGACATGAGCCCAGGCTTGGACTTCCAGGCTAGCACTCTAGTGTGCCCTGTTGTATGTCATCATCGTGTCATGGTTACCAGCCATGACAGGAGTATGGTACCTTAGATGTAGGTTCAATTTTCTGAAATTTTCCATGGTAATGCAACATACAGAGAAGTGCACAAATCCCAAGTGCATGTGAATAAATTTTCAGTGTCAAAAAAAAGAAATAGGGGGCAGGGGTTGTAGCTCAGTGGTAGAGAGCACTGGCCTAGCATGGGCAAGACCTAGGGTTCCATCCCCAGCACTGCAAAAAACAACAACAAAAAAGCCAAACAAGACCCTCCCCTCTCCACACTGCTGATTCACAGCGTGAACAGACACATGGAACAGCACTCAGATCAAAACAACTTGAAAGACAAATGTAAACAATAAGCTTGGTAGAAAACTATTCACTGAACTCCAGACCTTTTTTTTTCCTCTAGTTTTTCTACTCACATCTTTTTCTCTTCTAGGATTTAGTCCAGGATACCACTTGGATTTATTGCGTATATTTACAACTGTTCTTATTTCAGAAAATTTCAAATTTATGTAAAAGAATACTGGAAGTATGTGTGCAAGACCTTGGTTTCAATCCCTAGCACCAAAATAAATGTAGACAGAAGAGTAAAATAGTAAAGTACATTTATCAGTCAAATAAAATCTATCCACCACTCATTTTCAACAGCGATTAACTCATGATCAATTTGTGTCATTAATATCCCAAACCAGACTGCTTTTCATTTTTCCTGGTCTTATTGGCTTATATATAGTTCACAGATGTAAACCTTCCGTATTTTTTTGGTGTACTGGACTTTGTGCTTGCTAAGCAGGTGCTCTCTCACTTGAGCCATGCCCCCCCCCCCAGCCCCACATCTATTTCCCCTGCTTCCAGTATCACAGTTTATGACTTTCTAAATCATGGAGTTTCTAAGGCCAACAGCCAGAACTTGTCTCTCTTTAGGGAAAAAAAAATACTTAACTTTTTTCTTATTTTTTTTCTTTTATTAAAAAGTATTAACTTTATGGAAACAGTGGAAGAGGCAAGGGTAGAGGGAGTTACAATTATTTTTAAATTAGCAGTTAAGATTCCCTCTTGAAAGAGTTTCACAAGACCTAAAGCTCCCATCTGCTGGTTTTAAAAATATATTTTAATTTTTGGCCAGATAACACATTTGCATGTACTCACATGAAAAGGGCAATATTAGGTTCTAGGGAAAAAATCAGCAAGCATTTTCTTTTTCCTTTCTTTTTGATTAGTGATAGCTATTTTTAGTGTTAACTGTGCAGAAAACAGAGTTGGCGAGAACACAGAGCTGCAAGGGAGTTGGAGGAGTTATGTGGCTGTACCTCTTAACTCTGAAGGGTAAGATATGCTGTGCCATGTCAAGGGGCAGTCACAAGTAGACACAATCAGCAGCCTAAGTCACCAGGAAAAGGCTACTTCCTGCCCATTGTTTGGGAGAGAGGATTGAATTTAGGGCCTGGTATCAGTTTTTTCTGAAAGGGGTCAGATGGATAATCATTGAAACTTCTGTAGGCAGGACCCCCCATTCTGTTGTATCTTTGAAGAGAAGTTTTATGCCAATACAGTTACAAACATATTCATGTCTTCTCCCTCAGTCCTGAAAAATGGTGGCATATTATATAGACTGCTCTGGATTTGGTTTTTAATCATTTAAACCCAGGAGTTGGCAAACTATGTCCCATGGGCCAAACCCACCCCATCACCTGATTCTGTAAATAGTTTTTTCGGAATGTGTTCAATGCTTAAATAGCTGCCTTTGTGCTCTAGAGCCAACTATTTGCTACCCATATAGGATAGTGGACAAAGCCTAAAGTGTTTGGTGTCTGGGCCTTTATTCAAGTTAAATATGTGTCCAGTCTTTCCACATCAGTACAGAAGGACCTTCTGCACTTTGGTTCATGGCATATTCTCTCTCTCTCTCTTTTTTTGTGGCAATACTGGGTTTTGAACTCACATGCTAGGCAGGTACTCTACCACTTGAGCTACCCTGCCAGCCCCACGACATATTCTTTCATTGTAAGGTTGCTCCTAATTCACTTAGGCCATGCTAATGGATATTTAGGCCATTTCTGACCTCTTGCTGCCACAAATAATGCTGCAATGAGTAACCTTGTACTTACCTCCTTTTCTACATGTGTAAGTGTATTTACGGGATGGAGTCCTGGGAGTGGAATTGCTCAAGCCTAATCATTGATAATTTTTATAGCTATTGTCAAACTGCCCCCCAGAGGCAGGATCACTTACATTCTCGCCAATGTTATGCACCCCGCTTTTGCCTGCCTTCTGAATTTACCAACCTGCTAGGTGACAGGGAAAAACCAGCATCCAGTGTAGTGTAGTTTGCAGGCCTTTATTCTGATGAACTGCCAATCTGTTCATGCATTTGAGAGCTGTGTGTGCTTCCTCCTGTGGCCATTTACTCTCCTGGTCTGAGGGTCTTCTGGGGGTTGGTCTCCCCTCTCTCTGACTCTTGTGTCACTTTCACAGACAAGCTTTTGGGGAACAAAAGACTTAAGGACAAATATAGGGTGACAGGGCCATCGACGTTCCAGATATCGGGGCTGGGAAGCCAGGGGGAATCCTGCAGGGGGTTGTCGTTCTGCTCTGAACTTGGAATGCTAACTTCCAGAGGGCTCAAGCTGCCATCTTCCTCCACAGAGCTTCTGTTGATGCAGGCAGCCTCGTGTTCCTCCAGCTTTTTGATGGGCACCACATGGCAGGCATTATATTTGAAGCTGGCCATCTTTTTGGCTTTCTTGGGGTTCTTCCTCCTGCAGGACGCCAGGTGGTACTGGAGCCTGCTGAGTGGGATGTGGTGTTGAGGATTGTAAGGACAAATTTCTAAGGCTTCTGGCTCCATGCGAAGTAGTTCTTGAATCAAGTATGCCACTGCCCAGGTCTAAATGAAACACCCCCACAGAAAAGTCCCTTGGAAAGGAAGGTGCTGTCCTCCATCCAGTGTTGGCCCTTGCAACTCTAGGTGAAGGTCTTAACTCTGTAGGCTCTGTCAGCAACAGCTACACAGGGATCAGAGTTAGCAAACAGCACACCAGTCACAGGTCTATATAGCAGATGTGAGAACCCAAAACACACAACGGCCACAAAGGAGGTGAAGAAGTCATGTGGCCACGCCCCTTGACTCAGAGAGCTAGGATACACTGTGGGATGTCATGGAAGCATCACAATGGGCAACTTACATCAGAAAAATGTTACTTCCTGTTTGTTCCTGGGGAGGGGTGAGTGACTGGAGAGAGCTGCCATTCAAAATTGTTTATGACATGTATGTTGTCACTTAAGTCTTCTAACTGCCCCATATTAGTTTAGTGAAACTGATATATTTGGATTTAAACCTACTACCTTATTTTTGTGATTTCTAACCTATTCTTTGGTTAAATTTTTTCTCATTTTAAATACACAGTTTTAAAAAACAAAACTTTTGTTTCCCCCTCTATTTTGTACACTTCTTAATCATTCAGTGATTACAAACTAGAACATTCATAGATAATGTAAACAAGTTTGAGGTTAATGCTTTATTGTCTTTCTTGATAAAGCTCATATAGGGCTTTGCTTCATTTAATCCCCTCCTGACTTAGGTTTTTGTTCCTTGAATTTTAAACCCAATTTTAAAGGCTTCACTGAACATTATTGCTATTCCTCCCTCCTTTTTTAATTTTTTTGGTGGTACTGGGGTTTGAACTCAGGGCCTTGTGCTTGCCAGGAAGGTGCTCTACTTCTTGAGCCATGCCCTCAGCCCTGCTATTGTCATTTTTATTATCAAAGTTTATTTACATGTCCCTCATATTTACTCTTCTCTTTGCTACTTTGTTCTTCATCTCAGACCTATCACATGGGAGCACTGTCTTCCTGCTGAGGTTTAACTTGGAGAATCTCTCAACAAACTTCTGTGGTTCTGTTTGCCCAGGAGTGGCTTTCTTTCACCCTCATTCTTGAAAGATATTTTCACTGAGTATACTTCTGCTATTTTCTCTTCACGTCGGATAGAGCAGAGTACAATTTCTTCTCATTTCCAGCACTGGGGGTTGAAAGTTCAGATACCCACTGTTCCCTAATTTCTTTAGAAGGAAACCTATAGTTAGGCATTGTATGCATGTCTATAATCCCAGCTACTTGAGAGGCAGAGGCAGGAGGATCTTGAGTTTGAGGCTGGCCCAAAGACCAGGTAATAACAAGACCCCATCTCAAAAACAAAATACAAACAAAAGGACTGAGGGCATGGCTGAAGTAGAGTCCTTACATTCAATCTCCAGTACTGAAAAAGAAAAAGAAAAACAGGTAACATGTCTTCTTCAATGTCTGCCTGAATTCTTTATCTTTGTTTTTTTTTTTCCTACAGTTTTATTATGATGTTGACCTGCAGATTTGTTTTGTTCTTTGTATTTATTTACTCATCTGCAGATGAGTGTCTTTCATTAGCTTTGGAAAATGTTCAAATATTGTTTTCAAATATCACTTCCTCTTTATTTTCTCTCTGCTTACCTTATAGTATCTCATCCTCTCTTCTGTATTTTTCTGTGTGCTATATTCTGGATAATTTCCTCTGATCTAATCTATACTTTTGTTTCTTTTCTTTTCATGGTAGTACTGGGATCTTTTAATTTAGCCCTTTGCTCTTGCTAGGCAGGTGTTCTACCACTTGAGCCACACTCCCAGCCCTTTTTTGCACTTTTCATGTAGGGTCTTGTGTGGTTTTTGTGTTTTGTTTTTTGTCTCAGACCGTGAGCCTATCTGTTCCTCCTTTGTAGCTGGATCACAGGCATACCACCACACTTACTGATTGGGATGGCATCTTGTTTTTTGTCAGTGTTGCCTCCAACCATGATCCTCCTGATCTCTACCTTCCCAGTAGCTAGAATTACAGGTGTGAGCCACTATACCCAGCCTGACTTACAGTTTAGTTCATTATTTCTAAGTATGCCCATTTTTTTGTTTTTATGCGGTTTGTTAGTTTTGGTTTTGGGCAGTATTAGTTTTGGGCAGTATTAGGACTTAAGCTCTGGGCCTCAAGCTTGCTAGGCAAGCACTTTTCCACTTGATCCATGCCCCCATTGTTTTCTAGTTTTGGAGACAAGTTCTCATTGTGTATCCCAGGCTGGCCTCAAACTCTTGATTCTCCTGCCTCAGACTACCATGTACTGGGATTACAGGTGTGTACCAGCACACCTGGCCTCTAGGTTTTTTTTGGTTTTTTTTCTTTTTGTCTTTTCTTTTTTGGTGCTGGGATCGAACCCAGGGCCTCACACATGTTAGGCAAGGGCTGTACCACCGAGCTATATCCCAGCCCTGGCCTCTGGTTTTTAATTATGATTTTTATATTTTGCATTCCTATAGGCTCTGGTGTTTTGCGAAACTGCTTTATTATTTTGTATAGTTTCTTGTTCCCTGCAGGTACTTTGAGGTTCATTATTTATTGCTTTAAGTGTGGTAGGCTGAGTTGATTAAAGTCTGTGCTTGAAGCCTCGTGTATGTTTTTGTAGGTTCTCACTGGTGTGCACTGTCCCTTTGTGTGCTGATTTTCTTCCTTTGTCCTCGAAAACTTCTTTGTGTTTTTATTTTCTGCAGCCTGAGATTGGGTTTGGTGCCATGAGGACTGGCTGTCTCTTGAAGTCAGATTCAGTTCACCCTTGTTGCAGTGACTGAGTGCAGTTTGCCAAATGCCCTGCAGGGTCACTGTAATCTCACTTGGTTTTAAGTCATCTTTAAAACAGACAATTGGGATTGGTATTTGCTTCCTCATGATTCTGGGACATGAGTGTCCTGTAACCAACATGTAGCAGGATATCTCTGATTTGTACCCTAAAGTGCCTGTGGCATCCAATCTCGATTTCAAAAGGGAAAATTACTTTTAGGACATCAGTAACATTTATCTCAAAAATGTTGCCAACGCAAGGACTGATGCCTACCTCACACACTAGTGAACAAGCTAGTTTGTCGGCACAGCCTGCAACCTTACTTATCTATCCCAACCTTACTTATCTATCCAAGACCAGCCAAATGGTTGGCATCTCCAATTTACCATAACTACTATCTAAGCCATTCCAGATGTATTTATCCTTCCATACTTAAATATTATCCATCCAGATTGATAAGGTCACGCTGGGCGTGGGTGACTCAAGCCTGTAATCCTGTCTACTCAGGAGGCAGAGATCAGGAGGATCTCATTTTGAAGCCAGCCTGGGCAGATAGTTAGTGAGACCCTATCTCGAAAATACCCAACACAAAAAAACAGCTGGTGGAGTGGCTCAAGTGGTAGAGCATGAGGTCCTGAGTTCAAACCCCAGTACTGTCCCAAACAAAAAAATCTGTAGAAATACCGTATTTCTGAACAGGCGATTCCAAATCACAAATACAACTCCCCCCCAAATCAAATGATATAAGTTACATTGTCACCCTAAATTAATATATAATATAGTGGTAATTCCAAATATCTAACTGTAGTAGCTTAACTTCACGTGCTTGGTCTTATTTTAGGCCCAAGTTAAGGCTTTTTTTTTTTCCCAAAAAAGGCTTGACTGTCTTTAAGGATTTATTATTCCAGATCAGGTGTCAACTAAGTATAACCCATGACCTGAATCCAGGTGGCTATCTGCTTTTGTAAATAAAGTTTTATTGAAACACTGCCATACTCACTTTTTTGCATATATCATTTACTGGCTAGTATGGAACTATGTTTGAGTACTTAAAACACAGTCGAGATAACACGCAAAACCTCACGTGTGGGCTGGGAGCATGGCTCAAGTGGTAGAGTGCTTGCCTAACAAGCAGGAAGCCCTGAGTTCAAACCAGATTATCACAACTCCCGTGCCCCCTTCCCCCACACAAATAGCCATGTTTTCTGGCTGGCCCATTATAGAGAACATTTGCTGACGCTGTTCATGATGAATTTTATAACCAACTTGTCAATTCTTTCCTAATCCCTTAATTTTCTGGTGATTCAAGAAGCAGGTGGCTTGGATTTAAATCCTCCCTCTCACCACTTTCTAGCTGTTTGTGGGGGTGTGTCTGAGTAGTGCCTTGAATTTCTTAGACTCTGTAGATGGCATCATTTTGGGTAAGTTTTGTAGCTTTCTTTATGTTGGTCTTGCTTAATTTAAAATTTAATCATAGATGCTTTATGGTTATTTTTCTTCTTTGGCTTGAGATGGACAGGAAGGAGGCTGTCCCTATGTGAGGCTTGTAATTGGTGCGTATGTGAGGCTCATGATTGGTGGGACTAGAAGTTGTGCATATGCTGGCCTCGGCCCTCTTCCAGTTATATAAGCAGCTGTTTTGTCCAGAGTGCTTCTCCCTGCTATGCTGCACCCCTCACCTCTGTGCAGCCTAGGCCCCGGATAAGAGCTTCTCCTTAATGGTCTTTTATTGCCTCACTTGAGAAGTGCTACATAATGCTACACTGAATGTCATGCCGTGAAGAGACTTTCAGAAGAAGGTAGGTCCTCACATCAGAGCAACTAGCGGGACTCCAAGTGTCTGAGACTAGGGGAGCCTTGCAGGGAGCATTGCACCAAGGGCAGCGTGAAGAAGTCCTGGGCCAGGACCACAGTCTTTATCATGGACAGGGCAGGTAACACTTCAGAGCAGACAGAACCCTGGGCTCCAGCCCCATATTTCTGATGCAGCAGCTAGAAGGTGGCTGGACAGTGACTCCTGAGAGCTGTAAGCCCTTGGCTCACTCGCAGCTTGGAGGCAGCTGAAGAGAAGAGTGGCTGGGACTACAGAGGACTGAACAAGTACTAAGAAGGTGAGACGTGCTGGTGAACAGGGAGGAGCTCTGAAAGAGTTCCAAAGAGTTCCCGAGGGTGTGGCCAAGGTTCCTGGCACCCAAAGCCTGGGGCCTGCAAC